TATGTCCTTCTTGTAGGAGCTGAGGTAGAGGTTTCTCAAGAAATCTTTAAACATTTTTGTCAAACCCTTAATTAAATTCTGGAATGGCCAGTTTTCCAAATTTTGAAGAAAAAAGAAATTTTGCGTTCCATATTCCTGCAGAAAAATTTCCGGAAAAGTTGTTTCATTCCATAAAATAAACAGACCCTTAACTTAACATGAGTTTGGTACATGTGTACACGGTTGTGGGTGAAATAACAATATGTACTTAGATGTACTTTATTATGTGTAGGTGTTTTGGCAAATGTGGTTGATTGTGATCACGCTAATTAGCATAATTAATATTTACATTTACGGAAAGTCCGTAAAATTACGGCAAAAATACGAAACATTTCACTTTACGGAGTCCGTAAATTTACGGACATTTTTAACAGTGTACACTGCAAAATTCAAAAAATTTACCGTCAGTGAAATTGGAAAGGCGATGCAAACTTGACATAAAAATGGTGCATTCAAAAATTCTGTACTGTTTTTTCTCCGGTTTTCAAATGTTTAAAAACAAAATTCCGTTTTTTCAAATATTTGACTTGCTAAGGACCGTTAGAAAGTTACAAAATAACCTCAAATTCGGCAATGTTTGGTTTCTTATAAAAGAAATCTGGGGCCGGGGGGGGGGGGGGGGTTGACCCAATGGCCGATTCAACTAGGTCGAAAAGTGGGGGATATATCCCCCCCCCTGCGGGATTTACGCCCATGCCCACCAACATTACAATGGTCACAACAACGCTTTTACAACAGGGGAGCGCCCCTTATATAATGAATTCAGCGCAATTCATCAAAAAAAATGGTTTTGTTTCAATCTCTTACTTTTAACAGCTGCTTTCCTTGGATTGTAAAATTGGCATTTAACGTATTCAAAATTTAAAGTAAAACATTATTGTGTTGGTAAAAAACTAGGTCTTTATGTGTCGTTATAGACAACACAATAGTTAACATCTCTTTTTCTGCCATAAAAAAGCAGAAAAGTAGACTTAGCGTTTTGAATTTTTCCCTACTTTTTTGCTTTTCTTCTACCAGAAAAAGCAGATTGAATGTTTTGTCAAAACTCATCATCCTAATTTTTTTGCTTTTCTTCTACCAGAAAAAGCAGATTGAATGTTTTGTCAAAACTCATCATCCTAATTTTTCTGCTTTTCTGCTACCAGGAAAGCAGATTTTACTTTTTACCCTCCTAGTGGCTCAAAAGCGGACATCTGCTTTTTCGCTTAACAACCAGAAAAGCTGATTGAACAGTTTGAACAAATCTATTTTTACTAATTTTGAGTCTCCATACCATAGTTAGGAATGTGTCAGCCCATGTGGTTTTCATACCTTGCACACTAGTGCTGTAATAGTTTTACATTATTATGCATTCATTGGCCTCGCATAACTTAAATAAATGCAATTCAACAGTGTGTTTGACCAAAAAAGTAGTAACAAGTTCAGTATCATTTGTTATTTTATCATTTATCTTCAAATCTACAAAAATCTGATCATAACCAAACCCTTAGCTTATTTGCATTCCTTGAAAAATATGGATATACACTGTTTAAAAACAACATATAAATGTACTTCGAAGAGAGACCATATAACGTACTCTATTTACAATTATTTCACTGCTACTATGGACGCCGCTTTTATTACCATAGAAACGTGCTTTTTCAGTTATCGTAATAGTCTTTGTGCTTGTTACTGAGGTCCCAATTCAACAAATGACGTAAGTGATTGTAGTGAAAGCGATAGTAGTAGCAGTGACATAATAGACTCAACAAGTGACATTCTAAATCGTAGCCAAGACTGCGTTTTTAATCCAATTCCTTTAGACGAAGATGACTCTGGTGATCCATTATATAATTCACCTGGTACTAAATACTTTACTGAACAACAGGCAAAAGCTATGACTCAACAACTATCATGTGACGAACCTATTTCTATGTTAATGCGAATATCAAATTTATTAGCTTATACCGAGTGACCACAGTGCATTCCTTCGGTGTGACTCTTTCACAAAAACATTTGCGAGTAACAACTGTGGAAAGAAATCTCTTTCTTGGAAGAAGTAAGTGTGGTTCTAAAAAAGAACCGTCCTCACCCTCCTGAGGACGGACAGAGCACACTGTCCGAAACGTCGAGTTCTTCACTCAGACAACCGGTTCTTTTCAGAACCACACTTCTTTCTAAGAAGAGATTTCTTTCCACATGGTGTTACCCCTTACCCGGAAATGTTTTTTTTTAAATTTTATCCTATCCACCATGCAAAGCTTCAATAGTTATATAACGTTTACCACTGTTAAGGCCCATATTCTATCAACCAAGCTATGTATACCCTAATTTGGAGTTGTGCATTTTCGGATATGAATTGTGTACTCTAGTACCTGCTTCTGTGCAGTGCTTTTGTACCAGTGTATATACTAAAAGAAAAGACCGACTACTAATTAATTCACCTGTAAAATGACAATCTGCACAAGGTTACACTTTTCTGCGACAGTTTTAGTTGTGATGCACCAAGCACTTTTTAAACATTTCAATATTGGAAGATTACTGTATGGGTCAATTGCTACAATTTTGATAATTTGTCAAAATATAACAAATTAAACTATCTCTTAGACGTCACACTATTGTTAAAAGTGTAAATTATTTCATGAATCTACACCTAACTGTAGATTATTTTACAAAGATTATTTTAAGAATCTACAGTTTTGTTGTGAAAAGCCTCTGCAAACAATTCCATGTATAAACGGGACAAGACCAAAAAAAAAGTCTTTCAATGAAAGATGATGTCTCAAAACCGCCAAACTCACTGGTTTAACTGGAATCCTGCTGCTGCACAATTTTAACGTGTTTTTAGATGGGGTTATGATCGAGAATAAGCTTTATGTGGCCTCTCTGGTCTCCCATAATATTTGCACTAAGTTTAGTCGGGCACCATTTGCAGTCATTAGCCGACATTTGAAGCAAAAAAAACAGGTAAAAAAAAAAAAAAAAAGCCGCGTCGCCGCACCACTTTTTGGGCAAGCTCCATACCAGAAACCGGAGACTTATTTTTTTTTGCCTAAACTTGATTTTTTATTTAAAGTAAAAGTCCACTTTATGACGAAAAGAAATTGAACCTTCAATGGTACTTCAAATGTACGAATTTAAGGAGTTATTTTCGAAAGAATTTGACACGTACCTGATTTTAATAACTAGCCTACTATTTTAACGTTTCCCTTTAGCATAGGATGACCTCCCAAAAAAGTTGTTTAAGCAGATATCGTTAAATTTCTCAAAAAGTACCTAACATGAGTATTTCATTTTGATGAAGCATATTAATTATACTGTGTATACTGTGTAAAATCCGTGAAAATGTCATGGAACCCACTTATGCAAACCAGAGCTGTAACAGATAATAAATTGATACAGTTATGTCTTTTTCAACCCTTCCAGTGCGAATTACACATTGCACTGAAAATCGCTCAACCGGCACTATGGGTCTTTTCATTCACTGTATCACATTGGAACGGGCGAAAAACACACTGCCCTTTATAATCTATTGTATCTCTGGTTTGCATGAATGGATTTTCATCAAATTTCGCTGTGATTATACACAAGATCAGAGTACAAACAATATACCCCATCAACCTGAAATGCTGATGTTAGATACATGTACTTTTAAAGAATTTTACAGATGTCTGCTTGCACAACTTTTTTGGGGTCACCCTGTATTTTGGTTAATTCTTAAATTTTTTTTTAATTTGCCGCGCTAATAGTTTTTAATTTAATGTACGTGGCGACGATATATTTTTACTTTAAATGCAGTATAAAAATATTCTTATTTTATAAATCATAATGTTCACCTGAGCAGGGTTGTTAATAAAGGTATTGTGTACTACATGCAGCTGTTGACAGTTCTTGAAACAAGTATTTTGTGTCAATTTCTTTGGTGTTCCAAACAGTCCGAACACATAATAAATTGCTTTTATTGGACAAAACAGGTTTTAGGGTCATTGTGTTTAAATGGTGATATTCTGTGAATGGATTGAGCATTTTCAGTTAATTTTTTTTCATCTAAAAGTACTTTCTGAAATTGGCTTTCCAGTCATTATTTTTGGTGCAACATATTTTTAAAATATGAAATATATTTTTTGGGAGTGTTCCACTTTTTTTGACTCACCCTGTACAAGTATAAACTCCATTTGAACGAAGACAGTGTGTTTGCACTAAACACCAGTATGTGGGCGTGTACAAACGCTGCCTTGTGGGGTACCGGAACAACGGGAGGTACCCCACAAGGAATGCTCACCGACTTGCGGGGTACTGTTTTGGTACCCCACAAGTTTTTCACGAAATAGATATATGGATTTTACTCAAAAACTAGGAATTCCCAAGGTGGGTTGATCCGTCGCAAATGGAAGAGTTTTAGAAAAGGGATATTAAGTCCGAATTTCAGCCCAGGAAATTAACTATGGTTAAAATAAGGGACACTTGTGTGCGACGTTGCAAAATTTGTGTACAAAGGAAGTACCCCACTTCTATGCCTATGTAAGCGTGTGTGATTGTGACTGTGTGAGACTTTCAATGAGGACAATTGTACATGTGCATGTGATGAATGGAACACAAGATGTGCACCCATCTGAAGGGTTAACGAAGGGATCTTGTCACGATGCAAGCACAGGGCCAGGCAAAGTTGAATAGATCGTACGAATCTACACTTACTCACAAATGTGGAGAATGTGGTCAACCAGGATCTTTTTTGCATAAACTATAGTTGCACTAAGAAACAGGTAAAGTCAGAGAATAGACTCGGAACTGTAGATTCGTGCCAGAACGGACTTGGCTTCGCCACGTCCTTTCTTAGCACGAATCTTCTATTCTCTATAACATAATTGTGATGTTACTAGTGGAGCTTACTCCTACGGTCTTGCTTAACCATATTATTTACAATTACAAATGGAATGGTCAGCCCACTTTGAAGGATTAAATTAAACTATCCAAGACAAGGGCATCTTACTGCCAAGCAAATGGTAGCTTTTATTCACATTCCCGAAAAAAAATCACATATTTCACAAAACCTAACAACTTGATGTTATTTCTGTGCTAACGACAAAAAGTGAAATATACAACACAAAATTACACTGCCAATGTCAAACGTTTCAGAACATTTTTAGAACATTCAAGGACCATTAACTCTTTGAGTACGGATAAATTCCCTTAATTAAAATGGAATTAAAGTAACTATTCATGAGATGGAATTTTGCGTCGGGGTGTAAATCAAATGAGGTTTTTGCCCTTCGCCGACGTATAAACACTGTATACTCAGTGTGTTACCTTCTGAGTGAAAGTTCAAAAAAATCATTCGGGTGGGACTCGAACCCACGACCTCCTGCTTTCTAGGGGAGATGTCTTACCACTCGACCACCGAGCTAATGGGATCGATTGGCTGGTTCGAATCTGATGTACATAGAAGCGGGTACCGCATAAACTTCTGAAAGGGAGGAATATTATCGCTCGGACTTTTCCAGTTCATTTGGCTTCGCCTCGTGATATGGAAAAGTCCAGATTTTACCTTGCGACAATATTCCTCCCATTTCACTCTGAGCCACTCAATATTTGTATAATATACAACACAAAATTCACTGCCAATGTCAAATGTTTCAGAACATTTTCAGAAAATTCAAGGACCTCTACATCTTTGAGTACGGATAAATTTCCCTAATTAATATGGAATTAAAGCATATTTGAGCAGATGTATCTAGAGGGCGCTACTTGGAGCAAATACATCATCTCGCCATACACGAGGAGTTTGCGGAGGCATGCACAAAATCTGTTTAATGTTGGCATGTTACAAAATAAATAAATAAGACAACGGAAAACAGGTACAAAACCCTTCAGATCTCATTAGACTGGATTCGGTGGGGTTCGGTAAACTGCTCAGTGGAGAGGTAGAAGACCATGGGGACTACCACCAAGGCTAGCAGGGGGAGGTTGGAGGGTGGGTCGGCTAGTCCCGTCAGGGATATGATGCCATAAGCGTGGCACAACCAGTGGGCCAGGAGAATCACCAGGTTGCGCAGGTTGGAGACAAGCTTCTTCGGGGTCTGGGAAGGAGACACATTTAAGAAATCAATTTAAAAATTATTCCACTTTTTGGATTCAGTCTTCGAGGAAACGGCCACCAGGTGAGTTTGTTGATTGGGGTCTGCTTGTGTAACGGTATACAAATATAACATGGTTTGAGTGGATAGTCGATATTAGCTCACCGAGGTATTGGAAGTTGACAAACCAGTTCCCAAGGGGAAGTTGAAGGAACTAGTTTGTCAACTTCCAATCCTGACGGGAGGGGAGCTAATATCAACTAAACCATGTTATCTTTATTTTACTATACAGGGCGAGTCAAAAAACATACAACCCAAATATCGGGACTATTGTTTTAGTGAGGTTCTTTCTTTTAGTACAAGAATCATTCAAATCACTCAAGTACTTATCAAGTTACAGAATTTTAAACACAACCACCGTTTTAAAGTTCTGTCCATGGATCACACAAAAGGTGTGCGTTCTTTCAGCAAAACGAAAACAATTCACACACATCCCTATGTGATTTGTTTTCGTTTTGCTGAAAGAACACTTACCGTTTGGTGATCTGTGGACAGAACTTTAAAACAGTGGCTGTGTTTAAAAGTCCGTAACTTGAAAAGTACATGAGTGATTTGAATAATTCTTGTACTAAAAGAAAGATTATGAATTGAGCTTTCATATCCTAGATTTTGAAAGTGCTACGTTCAGAACTGCACAAAAACAGTGGTCCCGACATTTGGGTTTTGTTTTTTTGACTCACCCTGTACCTCATACATATTCAGTTGCCGAATGTTCCCGATGCAGAAGCTTGTCCAGCTCACAAGATGAATATTATTGCTCAACCTCAGAAAAGTTCAGTTTGTTTACAATACAGTAACTCCTAAGAGTTCGGCATTGTGTACAATTTTGTTTCTAGTAAAGGAGGCATCTTTATTATCCACAATATTCTCCAATTCAGCATCATTGAGCTCGGGAAAATGCTAATTAACATTTACGTGTGCAACCAACTTTTCATGTACACATAGCTTGGGCGATGTTCGCATGAAGGTACTACACGCATGTGACAGTTCCACAATTGCTTCGTAAAGGGCCTGCGTAGTAGACTGTCGCACGGCAGTCTATTACGTATGTGTATTGACATGAATACTCACAGGAGCTTAGTAAACAGCAAAAATAGCATCTGGCACGTGATGGTGAATGGACCAGTGAGAATTCGGCTCTCGATCATGAATATGTATGAGGTATAGTAATTTCATCTCTTTGATAATCCTGAGGTAAACTTTGGAAGCCCTAGTACAGGAAATGGTGGTATTTTAGGGATGGGCCGTATTTTGAAACTTTTGACATTTTAAATTAGGAGTGTTGAATTCAATAAAAAATGAGATTTTCGGTTATTTTTTTATTAAAATAAGCCTTGTATACCTGGTACTGTCCAAGAGCTTTACAGAAAACATCTCATGAGCCTGTTCGGGTGGGATTTGATTCAAACCACAAGCTCCTATGATTGCATCTCAAAATTTCTTAGACGGCACCGAGTATCCGCAGTGTTGCTGGTGAAAAACCAACTGTTCAATTTAATCTTACAAATGCTGACAATGTAGGTATCAAGCTGGAGATGTATAATGCTGAAAATGCATGTACTCCTGATCCTGGTACCAAAGCTTTCTCCATTGTTTCTCACGGCAAATGTTGAAAGCCTTCACAGAGTACAGTAAACTCCGGCTAAACCGGCACTCTTGGGACCCAAGAATTTGTGACGACTTACGCGAATGCTGATATATGCTATAAGTCATCATTTTGCCGACTTACATGAATGGTCTTTTGCAGACATGATTCATTGCACAAATTGGCTTCGAGTTACCCTGGGAATTGATGTTTGAGTTGAATCCAGCAAATTAATCCTGAATTGTATTATCACGTTTGGGGTATTGATAGTACAGACCACGATACATGTGTACAACTGTACGTGCACAGTAACGAATTAAATGCATGTGTGGTCCGCTATATACCACGCACGCATTGACTGCAGCAGTAGTCATTCAATAAGACGATCCCCAAAATGGACAGAGCGCATGCGTACAGCCTAGAGGTGGTACTGGTATTGATATGCTCACAATGCATATGCGATGTATGCAGCAAAGATCCTATAGTGCCGCGTAGTGGTATGCAGTAGGACACCCTTTTTCAACACCGATGCATGCAGCGATCTCGGGCCGTGCAAAACCACTTTTCACTCGACACTTTGCAAACCGCAGGATTTTGTAATGCTTTTTATGGAAAAGGGACCGAGAGCTATCGAGACCGAGAGAGCCGACTTAGAAACAAAAAATTCAATGGAAATGCATTACGGACAATCGGGACTTTAGTCAGACGGCCGACTTGAGCAATTTGACGGGTTGTACGATGTCTGTTTAGCCGGAGTTTACTGTATTTATGCTTTTTTTGCTTCAAAAATATGCCATCAAATCTGAGATTAATGTCTTACCTCAATTTCTGAATAGGCAAAGTGGACTGCATGCATCAGGAGGGATGAAATGATCAGGATGTAAGGGAAGGAGTAGTCTGCAAAGAGAAAACAGGATGAAATGGATAAACTAGTGCAGCTAGGCTATAAGCTTCTCGCACCAACCACTGGGAGGCTATGGACTGCGTGCAGATCAATAGACAGCCCCGTGTGACCACCCACAAGCACTCCAGTGTGCACGATGTACCAAAAGCTTGTGCACACAGGTTTGTGTTTTCAAAACATGCGGGATTTTACACAGCTTACTTAACACAGCACTGAAGTCGATTAAGGCAAGGAACTTGGTCACAGGGTCCAAAAATGTTGTGATCAATTGACCATTGTGCAGTGAGGTGTGACTGAAATTAAATGAAACTCATAGTGGTTTAGGCTAAGGATTCAGAGTATCTGCACAATCAATAATGTTCAAAATTGACTTCGTGGTTTAGTAGTTATTTCAAAAATAGTCAAACGGACACTTTTTTTGGGACATACTGTATTGCAAAAAGATTAAACCTTTTTGATTGAGCAGTGTAGTGTATTTGTGCGATTTGCTGTATTTTTCACACAAGTGAGAAACATGGCACCTAGATCAAAGCCTTTGTCCATGCGAGTTTTGTTACATCGTGCCAGGAAGTCAAAAATGATAAAAGTTACGACTGAAGGACGTACATATTAACCCTGCACACAGCGCATGGAGAAGGACCAGCAAAGGCAGGAAGTACAGTGCAGCATAGATGGAGTTCCTTCCCTGATTCTTGCAGAGTTTGACGGACAATAATGGTCGGAACAACATCATCAGCAGCAGCTCAAATGTGTAGATCACAAACACCACCGTGTACCTTGAGATATGCCAAACATATAATAACATTATAGATTGAAAGGTAATATACAACATTTGCTCTTGCTGTAATTTTTCAGAAATGGATGGATTTGGGGGTTAGTATTTTATAGCAAATATTGTTACACTGACCTGTTTTGTGTTCATAGACTGATAGATGCTAAAGAAAACCAAGAAAAAAAATGTTGTTCTTGTAGTCTGGTTCCCTGATCCTACTTCAGACGAAACGGAGCAATTTATAGACGTCGGGGAATTATCAGGTCAGGGAACCAGTCTAGCTGGCTTGCACCCATTCATGGATGTGCAACTGATTGCGAACAAAATGTGGACTAACTATTAAAATTTGGTAACTTGGGGGCAGCATTTGAAACAAGTCAGGTTTTTTCCAACATATGGTTGGCCAACCATAGTTGGAAATTGATGCAAAAAATTCACCTTGGCACACCAGGTGCCAAGATTTCACAGGATACTTGAGATAATTATTAACCAACAGTCGAGTGAGGTATTCATAATCATTTGGGTGTTTTGTTTATTTGATGTTTGCAAGTGTTGTACATCACCTTTACATCAAGCTCAAAGCAACTGGTGTGTCAATTTAAGAGTGTATCTGTCGCGATAAGACAAAGTCGAGACAGGACTGACTGGATGACATGGTATAAGACGGGATGGAATAACAAGACAGAATGGTATGGGACAGGTCAGGACATGACAAGATTGTATGGGGCTAGACAGGAGCTGGTAACAGGCAGGACAAGATGGGAGAGGATAGGATGTGTAACACAATATGCAAGAATACTGTGCAAAGGTCTTTTCTTTGATATTTTTTTCAAAAATGTTTTAAAATTATATGACACTACCGTTAATGAATGTTTGCTTTTAATGCCGGATGAAAGTCAGAAAAATTATTCCTTGACATTTGATTAATCCTAACCACCCCAACTCCATCAAAATCAACCCCTCCATTTTGGTGGATTTGGGGGGACTTGGTCCAGAAGGCCTGGCGTGACTAAATATTGATGGAGTATGATGGACTTGGGCCTAATGGCCTGAAGCAGTGCTAGGGGTATCCGATTGATTTTGCCTAGCTTCCTGTACTGCTATTGTGATAAAAGCCATGTGTAGCAAGTCCATGAATGTCAACCAGTGCGTCAGTGGTGGATTCCATTATGTTACGTACAGTTTTGTATTGGACGCACAATGATTGATGGATTTTGATGGATTGGTCCAGTTCCTAGTAAAAGACGCTAGGGAGTTAGGTTAATAGAGTGAGCGTGAATCAATACTCTTTCCATTACTTTGCCCATACTGGGTACAAATCTTATGTTTTCTCATTTGGGTTTCCATTAGTCTTTTGAATAGGGACCTGGGTTAGAGTGGGTTTTTCAAATGCATTCCACCCTGATTGCCTTGGCTGCAATGAAACAAATGCTTGAAATCAACAAAACGTAAATCTTACAATGGATAGACGGCTTCCTGGGTACAGTGCAGTGTTCTCGTGTAGTCTGGTGTCGGGTTGTTGAGCATTGTGTACCAATCTGAGAGCGTCTGAACTCCACAAGCATGGATAGTCAGGCTGCCTGCAACATGAGAGGTTTTAAGTGTTAGCCAAAGCTGCTGTTAATGCTTCCAAGATTTGAAATCAAATTTAAAGATAGAGTATATCATTTGCAGCTATCCAAACAGTAACTGACAAAATTATTGTTGAAAAGCATACTTGGTTTTAAAGATAGTAATGGCACTCAACTCCCTGTGAAATTATTCTTTTTGGCAAGCTGTCATTTTGAAGAAAGCAATAAAAGAAGGTCATTTCCAAAAATGCGTCTAGTAGTTCGTTTTTTAATTCGGCAAAGCCGTGAATGCGTGCGCACAAAGACAGAAAATTTACCACAGCAAAATAAAATCCAAAATTCTAGCAACTTTTGGTGCTTAACTCTAACCCTCCTAAACCCTCTACAATCCTCCCAGCAAATTCGGAGGATTTTGAAGGATTTGAAGGATTGAGGCCAAATGGCAAAAATGTATTTTTGGAGGACGCATTGTGTTTGAGCTTGTAGGCTATACCCTGTATTTGTTATGCATAATTGAGCCCTGCATTAATTATGCTCGATATCATCCGCACTGCTTCTGAAAGTCATCGGCACTGCCTCAACCCATTAACAGTGATTGTTGGAACATTTTGAAGGTTTGAGGCAGTGGTCACCCCTCCACTGAACAAATTCAGGAAATAACTGATGATTTTTGGGGACTGCGCTGAGGCTGAATCCAATTTTCACATGGTGGCCATTGGAGGATTTTGCAGAACTGAGAATAGTTCCTAGCCAAAAGAGCCTAGGGGGTTAGGGTTAGGGTAACACTGAAGTTCCTGCCTTAAATGATACCAAAGTTTTGCTCACGAACAGGAATCAATTAAAAAGGCATCCAAACACATTTGAAAATGGCAATATAGAGATTGAAAAGAAGAAAGTTCAATAAGACAAACACAAAAGTGCATTCCACAAACTTTTTTTCGTGGGCCCTTAAAAGTTAAGAATTATTTTCCCAGATTTTTGATGCACCCTTGACGCACCTTTGGGTTCTATGAGAAGTAATGTCATCAAAGTTGCCAAGATGCATTCCACTACTGCTGCTCCATGTAGTAAGAAAGCACTGTTGTGGAAAAAAATAAAGAAAATATGAATCAGGAATATTCTTACCTGAAGCCTCTACAAATACCAATACAAGAGAACTTTGCTATATTAATAAATCAATGGGGTCCACAGTTGATTTTTCAGAACTGTATAATTGTACATAACATTTAGGAGCCACAGTACAGGGGATGTTTGTTAATAAGGGAATAATTATGTGCTTGGCCAGTTCTAAAGCTGGCTAGGGGCCTTGCCGCGGTTAAAGACCCTAGCCGAACCATTATCCGTGGCCAGGCCCCTAGACAGTTTTTTAAGTACCGTAATTTTCGGAATATAAGCCGGGCGGCGTATAAGCCGCAGCACGCAAAAATCTGCAAATTAAGATCTGAAGTCGGCGTATAAGCCGCACCGGCGTATAAGCCGCACCGACCGCAGCGGTTTCAATTTTGTAAGGCCTACAAATTCTAGTCAAAATGCTCTGAACCAGTTCCATTTACACTACAGAGCTATAAAAAGGGCCACAAAAGTTGTATCAAATCATTTACAATCGATACTCTTACAAACAAATATGGAAATTGATGATGAGAAATAAACAACGGGAATTGCTGCCGGCTGCCCCTACGGTCCCCGGCCTTAAAAGTTAGTGCATGGCCCAGCAGCCTGCGCCGGTGAATGACAAAATTTTCCCGCATCGCAGCACGTGAGAGTGTATGCAACCCACCGTGTGTTGTCTGACTGGAGCACTACAGATCTTGCTTTTGTGGCAACAGATGCTGATTTGTTTGTCCTAAGAATAAACAGGTCCGGTTACTCCTCAAAACTTATCAAATTTTTGTAATTACTAGTGAGAAGTAACGTTAAAAGTTCAAGTTTCGATCGTAACTTTCTTCAAAAATAGTCAAAACCAAAGATCCTGTAGCGCCGTAGGAAACGAAGCTGACATTTTTATGGACGAATCCATTAATTTTGTAAGGGGTGATTTAGTCCCCTCTTTGAGTTTTACATCGTTTCTTGAATACTTTCAAGAAAAAAATATATATTGTGACATTGAACAACTGATTATCTAATTTAAAAAATGTTTCGAATACCATAAAAAGTATTAGTCGTCTTTTTTTGTTTTTAACAGCGGAAATATTGTTAATTATTGTTCCCAAGAAAGTGCACCACCCCTTCATTACCACAAATGGTGTGGTCCGCTGGGGAAAGCATGCTGCATGCATGCAGCTGCTCGTGTACCATATCACGTACGGCTGGTCGCAAGCGTCGAAGACAGCTTTCACCGTACATTTTACCGCTCGGTACCTTTTGGTTTTGGTTTGTTAATGACTTTCTTAATTGATAATTCATTTCAGCAACACATCTCTTCTTGTACCAGTACATTAAATACACATGTGAATCTCACTTTTATTCTTCAAGGCTCGGCGTATAAGCCGCCCTGTGTATAAGCCGCAGTAAACATTTTCATGGGCAAAATCAACGTATAAGCCGCGGCTTATATTCCGAAAATTACGGTACTTGTTGAAAACCGGCCAAGCACATATTTATTCCCATTCATAAATACCTTTTGGTCTAAAAGTCGAAACAAGTCCAAAATTCACAAATTTTGTAATGATTCTGTTCAGTAATTTACTTCATGTTTTGTGAAACACCCCTCTGGTCCTGTCCATGGTATGTGCCTCGCGTGCGTAGTCCTGAAAATCTCCTTATATGGAAACTGGAGTGCGCACGGCGCGTACTGCACGATGTGGCGCAGAATGCAGGAATTGTTTAAAACCAACCGGTGCATCAGCGTTTAAAACCACCCACCTGACAGGCTCTTGACCAATAGGAATGGGTAAACTGTCTCAGGTATTTATGAATAAGGTAACAATTGTGGTTGAGGAGTTTTTAACGTCTGGTTTAAAATCAGTTTATAGGGGCCTGGTTGCCGATAATCGGCGAAGAAAATTTGCAAGATTTTGGAAAGTAATATTTGGGAAATAGTTGGTTGCTCCTAAATTGTAAACTGTAATGCTTATACATGTATAGCGCTTTTCATCGTATCAACAAACTCAAAGCGCTTTACAATTATTCCCCCGTTCATCAGGCCACGAGACCACGCGGTAGCCGATATCAGCGCACATTTGGCCCTCTACCCTCACATTCATACTCCTGGATGGAGAGAGGCAATTGTAGTTAAGTGTCTTACTGAAGGGCACAAACACCATGTTCCTGGCAGGGTTCGAACCCACGTACCACCGTACATGAGTAAAAAACACTGTAACCATCACAAATCCATCACAAATCAATTCAAGAGTCCAGTCATATGTGCTGGGAATTGTTTTTAAATGACAATTAAATGCCTTTGACACAATTCATTTGGACAGCTTCAGACTTGACATGGGACTGAACGATTTGTGATGGACTTGCGAGGACTTTTGATGGAGTCGACTACAACATCAACAAGATGCCTTAGCAAGTAAGCACTTCTCTGCACGGCCAAAGTGCCAGGGATGAAACCAAACCCAGCTGACGAGGACAATGACAGAACAGAGGGATGAGAACACAGTGGGTTCTCACCGGTATCCCTTGGAGAAGAAGTCAATGAAGAAAAGATGTAATCCAAGCGACAAGTTGACCATGAAGCCAATGTAAAGCCAATCGTAGAACAGGGGCTCCGATGTGCAGGGCTCACAGATAGACATGGCATTCCCACGTTGACCGCGGGGGCATGCCTGCAGGAGAAATTTAATTTATTACTTGAGTAGGCATGGCTCAAAGGACAATTCATTCCCCCCCCCCAAAAAAAAACCCCACCCAAATCGACAACAACAACAAAGAATTGGCAAAATCTACCATAAACCAGCATCTCTGTTACACGGAACCTAAATCGGATATAAAACATGGACAAGATGCTTTGAAATGTCTTTACTTTTTTACTACGTCTCTACTATGTTTACTATTTTTTTACTATGTCTTTACTATTTCTTTACTATTTCTTTCACCATCCACAAGCATGACAAGGAGGTTTTGGAGGATTTTAGAAGATTTAGGAACCCGCAGCCTTTACATGAGACTTGATGCCCCTGCACAGCGGAAGATATTTCGGGGATACAGGAAGGTTCAAAGGAATGCCAGGGTTTTTTTTTTTGGGGGGGGGGTTAACAAGCATTTGCTTACCAAAAATCCCTTGACATCCTTTCTTCTATCCAGTCAATTTTGTTTTCAATTAAGAAACTGGAAGAGGGAGGTACCTGTTTTTAAACCAATATTGTTCTCTACTCGTTCCCTTTCCCTACACAGATTTGTGAAATACTAATAGAAAAAAGAGAAAACAGTTACAAAGGATATGCCCTCTCAAATGAGGTACTGTCCCCCTCCACCACAGAAATAAGGTTCTGGATCCAACAGTGCATACTTACATGCGGATCAATCTATAAATTTGGGCTCTGAAGTGGAACATTTCTCCTGTCCCTGTTACCTTCGTACTTTGTAATTTGTCAATGAAGTATCATTCTGAATGACTTATACACAGATTTGTTATTTGTTGGGAAGGGAGATTGCTATTCACAATCACTCTTGGAGGATGTGACTGCATTAAGAAGTGCATTAGAATTACAGGGAAATGACCCATGTGCAGTGCATTGTACAATCACGTATTCTGATATTAAATCCTTACAACGCAAAGATTTCACACCATGTTCGGGCTTGCATGGAATCGTTGCGACTAATATACTGGTTAGGCTGGTTTACACATGGTATAGCTGTCCCCAACAGTCCTGAATCCTCCAATTTCAATACGATTTTGCACACCCCCTAGGGAGTTAGGGTTAACCCTAACTTCCTAGGCATTTTTGCTAGGATGCAACCTCAATCCTGCAAAATCCTCAAACTGCCTCCATGTAAAAAATGCATACAGCCTCAATCCTCCAAAATCCTCCAGCAATCACTGTCAACATGTTGAGGCAGAGCCAATGACATCCTGGAGCAGTGCGGAGGATTCCAAGTATAATCTAGGCCTAAATTCATGTGTGGCTGAGCATAAACAACACAAGGTCTGGCCCAAGACCTTGACACAGTGCATCCTCCAAAATCAGCCGCACATTTTTGCCATATAGTGGCAATCCTGCCAAGTTTTGCAAAGAGGATTTTGGAGGATTTGGGAAGGTTAGGGTCAGTGAGGGATGAGTCATGTGTGCAAAAATGCTGTTTCGTTTACTCACCCCACATGGTCCGTATGAATCATTAGTGCTTGTGTTTAGCAGCTGAACCCTGCCGCAGTAGGGTCCCGGGCATGTCTTCTGACCTTGAACCAGACTCCCTTGGTCTGAATTATAGACGAAACAAAACAGACGGCCGTTAATCACTACTCTTAGGATGCATACCACTTAAGCACATTTCCAAATGATTTCACATTAGAGATGGCGATATATGTACAAAAGTTGCCAATGTTTGCTACATTGGCAACTTTTGTGCAAGTGGAATGCACGTCGTTATCTTCGAGGGGTCGAAATGGATTGACGAAATGCAAAGGGGTTTTCAAAAGGTAAAGATTCAAATCGCATTTAGAGATGGTACCAACTTAAAGTGAGCTTGCACCCTTGATCATGTCCATTTGTAATGAACAGACAGTGAAAGTACAATATACACAAAAACCCTGCTCAAAATAAGCACACACAACTTTGAGCAGTGTAGTTTTCCACTGAGCAAGCTGTCCTGTGGCAAGTTGACCAGGGATGGGCAACCTGGGTTGGAGTGATCTAACCTGGGGGCGAGTTGTCAAGTGATGTACCAGTGGGTAATTATAGAATCTACACACTAGGCCTGGGCGAGTAGTGGATTCTTCTACTCGAGTACTCGCAAAGAAATTAGTCAAGTACTCATGAGTACCTGCTTTTACTCACGCAAGGACAAGTACCCGAGTAGATGAAAAACCATGAGAACGAGTAGCATAAACCACTCGCGAGTACTCGACTTACTTGCCCAGCGGTACTACACACCCCTGCATCAGAGTAGTGACGTACCAAATCATGTATACAAATTTGTATGATGGTATTTACAATAATGTAGCTACTTTTTGGACCCACTTTTTTGAACAGCTTATAATGCACCTAACACTGCGGAAACGTGACACGCCCCCAAAATGACACACCAAATAAGGACTTGACGCTAGTGTTACAGCCATGTAAGTACATAATACACCTTTGACACACCATTCCAAGGGGTCATAGGGTTCATCTTACAATGACAGATGTATTAGGCAGAACAAAAACACTTAGGCCTAACACTTTCTTTTGTTTCCCCCCTTTTTTGGGCCAAACAATGAAAGTTAGTAAACAAAATAACGCAGTGGCTATTTACGGCTATAGTGACGGCATTGCAAACAAATAAATAAATAAAAATTGCATATCTATGTTGTGCCCATTCTTAAAAATCACGCATTCTTAAGAATGTGCATGCACATTCTTAAGAATGCGCAACTGGATCCTTGCGCAATCTTCGCAAAAAATAACTCTTCCAGATTGAGCGCACATTCTTAAGAATGCGCGACAAGATAACGGTCTTGTCGATGCCGAGCACCGGCTGCGCTTGGCGAGTCTAGCTGCATCCTCGTTCACTGATTCTCAATAATTATACTGTTGCAACGCAAGGCGCTGAAAAGTAGAGTGGATATGATAAGTATAGGCGTATTGATATGGGGGGGGGGGGCCGGGAAAAAATAAGAGACATAATAATACTAGTGGAAAGAATTCTGATTTTTGGGATAATAAAAGTGGGGGGGGGGGGGGGGAACGTAAGAATGAAGAATGTGAAGAATGAGAATGAATACTGCGACATCCCATAGTGCTAATGCTATTTCCCATTTAAATTGCCACTAATTTATTGTTCACACCCCACCATTACGTCGCAGAGCTGGATTCTATCTAGTCAAAAGAGCAATTTTGGCAGCTTCTGGACATCGTTTTTTTTTCGTGGCATGCATATGATACATACAGGGACTTGTAACTTGTCTAGCCTAAACAAAGCACTTCCCAGACTAGTTCCCAGTCCTCCGTTATTACAAAACTTCCCATAGTGGGCAGAAAAAAGCAATAATAACAGGTTTAATTTGATTCAAATTATCGTAGTTATACGAGTACAGAAGCATAGAACATTTTCTGTCCTCTTTATATAAATTGTTTCCCTTTTAACCGCTATACATTTCATTTAACATAATTATGTTGTGCAATGTTTGTTAAGATTGGGCAAAATTCATAAATTGTGCACGTGATATTCCCACCCAATCTTAAGAATGAGCGCTCATTCTTAAGAACGCGTGCTCGTTCTTAAGAATGGGCGCTCATTCTTAAGAATGCGCGCACATTCTTAAGATTGCGTGATTTTCAAGAATGGGCACAACATCTATATCATATACAGGGTGGTGCAAAAAGAAGAAAACCCACTTTTGACAGGAATTTTAACCTACTTACTTAACTTATTTGAACTGTTTGTTTTGTAATGTAGTGAAGTATAGCTCTTCAACCATACGTGGTAAAAAAATCTTTTAAAAAATCAAAAGAATAGTGTTTTATGCTAACTTGAATACAAGTCACCAAAATGACTGTTGTCCACGTGTAAGTCATGTAAGTCTAGTGTAATAATAGTGTTTTTGGTCTTCAAATCAAGCTCCGGAGCTCAGTCAAGCAGATGGAATAAAGCCATCCGTGGACAAACAGGTTTGACACATGAAATTTTTACACTACAATATCTCAGAGACAAAATTTGCATTTGCAATCATTTTTTCGTCACTTAAGTTTAAAGATCAATATTTTAATAAATTGAATTTTTGAAATATGCTCAACAAGTAGGTGAAAATTACTGTCAAAAGTGGGTTTCCTTCTTTTTGCACCACCCTGTGTGACTGCACTTTTCCAACCAGAGTCTATGGGGGACGTGGTATTCCATATCCGCATTCTGCAATTTTTCAACTAATGAAAAGAAGATGGAAACTTTCAATCCGACACAAAAGTTGGAGCATACAAAATATCTTAAACCATGGTGCTGTACAAAAACCAAAAATGAAATTTTGCATTTATTTCAATATAAGTTCAAAACTAACAGTTTTCTTTGATTTCGTTGGTACCCTGCTCTGATTTTGCACACAGGTGAACTGTCTCCCGAAATAAATCAACTGCTCGTGCGCAAGAAAATTTCTTGTTTTGAACTTTTAAGTTTTATTAACGAATTAAATGCAAAATTTTGACATTTATACCACCATCAATGGTTTAAGATATTTTGTATGCTCCAACTTTTGTGCAAACGAAAGTTTTCATCTTCTTTTGGGAAAGATTCCCATATCTGGCCATCACTTGTCACCCTATGCACAAACCCTATGGGACTGGTCTGAAAATTTGTGTTTTCTCAGTAAAAATTCAAAACTTGCCCCTGCAAATTTTGATTTTTTAGGACTTAATATCACTTTCTCAGTTTTTGATGGCTGATAGTGATACTTATGTTATAGGTCATTTAACTTAAGGGAAAAATTACTGATGGCCAGATATAGGAATCTTTCCTTCTTTTGATTTATAGATGAAAAATTGCACAATGTGGATTTGGTTACCACGTCCCCCATACATAGACTTATGTGCATTCATCTGCTTATTTCATGTATTTAATTTATATAAGTAACAGGCCTATGACAGATCTCGCGAAGTGCGATTGGCAAAATTATTGGGGGGGGGGGGATGTTGCAACCTGACGCCACTTTTTTCTTCATAAATCTTCTCAATGAAGGTCAGTCCTTGCAAAAATGATGATAAGACATGAATTTGGGACTGAGAAACATTTCCAATTTTGTTAGGAAATATTTAGCCCCATAAATGTGGCCTATTTACTGGACTGCCTCCGTAAACATAGGCCACACATCCACATGTACAAAAACGTGTCGACTTCACTTTGCCAAATTTTGATTTTCACATTTAGGCTTACTTTGTAGGCAGGGTAGCTGGAGTTACCCAGCCCTGAGTTTTATCATTGGGTTGTCATCTAGGGCTGGAGCGTATTTTTCTCGTAACTTGTAGTATATTCAAAAAATTTTGGAAAATGTTCAATTTTGTCCCCGTTACACACTAATTGCAACTGCAACTCACCCCAAACTTGCCTGGAATAACCATTACACAGGTCCTTGAAGTAAAAAACGATCCACGATGAAGATTCAGCCTACAATTGCAGTGAAAACAGGAGGAATAACCGCTAACTTGACAACCTTGCTGGATTGGCCAGGACCGCAATTGGTTTGTGCACAAAAAAAATTGTGTACAATGAATGGCGGTCGATTAACAGGCACAGACTCAACTACTCGTTTTTGCCGGCTGCGCTGGCTGTTGGCGCATGACGTCACGCGGAAGCGTAACACCCGATGACTGTTTTATGCACTAATATAAGGTTTACCACTCGCATCACAGCTTTGGTACTGGAACCGCAACCAATAGTGCATGAAACAGTCATCGGGTCATACGCTTCCGCGTGACGTCATGCGCCAACAGCCAGCGCAGCCGGCAAAACCGAGTAGTTGACAGCGATCGCTCTCTGTGCCTGTTAATCGACCGCCATTCATTGTACACAATTTTTTTTGTGCACAAACCAATTGCGGTCCTGGCCAATCCAGCAAGGTTGTCAAGTTAGCGGTTATTCCTCCTGTTTTCACTGCAATTGTAGGCTGAATCTTCATCGTGGATCGTTTTTTACTTCAAGGACCTGTGTAATGGTTATTCCAGGCAAGTTTGGGGTGAGTTGCAGTTGCAATTAGTGTGTAACGGGGACAAAATTGAACATTTTCCAAATTTTTTTGAATATACTACAAGTTACGAGAAAAATACGCTCCAGCCCTAGATGACAACCCAATGATAAAACTCAGGGCTGGGTAACTCCAGCTATAGGCAGGGTAGGTTTTTTTTTGCTTTAGAAGCATTCTCACCCTCTATATTAGGCTAATCAGAAAGTGCTGCCTTTTTCAGATGTCTAATTTTTGTGAAATTTCATGTTGAAATTTTGATACGCAAACATGTGCAAATGTATCTGGAAATTTCACGAAAAATGGACATCTGGAAAAGGCAGCACTTTCTGATTAGCCTATATAGAGGGTGAGAATGCTTCTAAACTCAAAGCAAAAAAAACCCTACAAAGTAAGCCTAAATGTGAAAATCAAAATTTGGCAAAGTCGACACGTTTTTGTACATGTGGATGTGTGGCCTATGTTTACGGACATGACGGAGGCAGTCCAGTAAATAGGCCACATTTATGGGGCTAGGAAATACTTAGATTATAGAAAATGTTCTTGACTTGTTGTACACCGCCATGACCGCTGAAGTGGCGTCAGGTGTCAACATTTTTTTCCCGATTGGGATTGTGAATGTGATTCACTGAATGGGCTTCTGTTACATGGCTCAAACGGGTTGAATGTAGCTCCTTCGGCTTCAGACACTAACATCAACGTCAGTAAAACTACACCAGACATCAAGAAGAAACTCGACCGTGTCCGATAATAAAGCATGAGACACGAGATCGCTACCAAAATGACCATATTTGAATTTTCTTCTGTCCAAAACAATCATTTTCAATTTCACTTGATCGATGAGCTAGCTCTCAGTAGTCTGTACCCATACCTGTGCCTATCCACATTCACAGGTAGTGATGTGGGTGCAAGACGTATAGTGTGTAAATTAGATAGCACGAGAGGGCGGGCTTCATAAACATTGCATGTGGCTGGCCATTTGCGGGGGGGGGGGGGGGGGGGGGAGGAGTTTGGAGGAGTTTGGGGAGGGGTTCAACTTCAGTTATGTTCCCTGAAAACAATTTTAAAAAAAAAGCGTCTTGGATTGTTAAATTCAGCCCCCATCAGACAATGAATTTAAGCAACAACTTATCATGTCTTTGTTTGATGTCTATACTGTCTGTGATATTATTATTATTATTTTTTTTTTATACCCATTGTAAATTTGACCTGCAAAATAATAAATGAAATGAAATGAAACAAAGTGCATTTGGTCGTGATGTTACACACATGTTTTTGTTCAGTGGGCGGTTGTGTGTTTCAAATATTTAGTATTTTCAGCAACATAGAGCTTCCTTGTACAATTTTTTCCATTTCATTCCGAGAGCAGAATAAAAGCATCTTTCATTACAAATATTCATTTTCCCCATGGCAGTACAAGCTTAATTACGAGGTTTACACATTGTCCATTCAAAATGCCAGCTCTGTGTATTAGGGGGCCACAGTGCAAGCTTGGGGAGGCAATGCTTACAATGCTGTTAATCTGGGCAAACTTTTATATTTTTATCACCAAAAAAAACCCATACAAACAAACAACAGTACACTATGTTCTATTGATGCATTTTAATTCTACTTTTAAAATATTTCCCATCTAAAATAGTTTTATACACAGCCAAATTAATAATATGCCAAACGGCATTGAAAAAACACTACTTCATTTTCAAGCTCTTTATACAAGGTACTTATCCAAAGTTGATCAAAACAACTGCCTTCCTCTGGACACAAAATGGCTGCTGATTTATGTAGCAACAGCACGTACATTGGCACTCATCACTGAGTGCACTAATGGTGACTGCTCTATGTTCCGACAACTGACCTAGATTGTGTTACTCCCGGTTAGGGTTAGGGTTAGGAATAGGAATATGTGCAGTCAGAATATAGGGGTGTCGGAACATAGAGGTGTAACCGCACTAATCACTTTCGTTCACAGTTTGTGTCCTTTTTGGACACAACTCTCTGTCAAACCGTAAAAGCACCCTTTGCGTACAACAGGTTTATTTGCTATGTCAACAGAGGGTGCGGTTTTTATGGGGGGGTATTTATATTTCTGCATTTCCAAACAAACTGTGGATGCGGAAACAAGGCTTATACGACAGAGTACACCATAATTTACATGTCTGGAAAGTTTTATAAAATTTGGCGTACCAGATCGCCTACTTCAAAACCTACTACAAAATTCGAAGTGCTTTCAGCCACTCGTCCCACTCATTGTGCATGTCTCGGTATAGAACTGCGTTACTAAGGACGTGCTTGGCGGTCTCACGTTCAAACTTTCATGACTTTATGGAACTATGGCTGAACCAAAACACTACGATACTTGTCAATTAAAATGCGCGTCAGAACAATTATATGCTAGCTGTGTGAACGATCGATATTCAAGTTGTTGGTCAGCATGGAGGCTAGCTACACGATTCATGAGTATATAAATATAATCAATTTTATCGACTGAACGATAAAATATCTTACAGGTTTATTTTGCGGAAACACCATGAGCGAATAATTTCTCAACTAAGAGAATGGTTCTGAAAAGAACCAGAGGTATAACCTCAATGTTCCAGTCAGTATGCTCTGACCGTCTTCAGGAGAATGCCTAAACTCTAAGAAGGTAAACACTTAAGTAGCAGAAGCGAAAGCGATTAAGTGTGAAGTTGCATCCTGTGTGGATGCCAAGTAGCTGGGATCCTAGAGCAAGCTTACTGCCCACTGAAGTGGAACAGTAGGGTGACAGTCTCAGTAGAGGGAGGACCTAGGGTATAGGAGACCCATCAGTCTAAGGTAAAGGTTAAGGACCTAGGGTATAGGAGACCCATCAGTCTAAGGTGAAGGTTAAGGACCTATAGGGTATAGGAGACCCATCAGTCTAAGGTGAAGGTTAGGACCTAGGGTATAGGAGACCCATCAGTCTAAGGTGAAGGTAAGGACCTAGGGTATAGGAGACCCATCAGTCTAAGGTGAAGGTTAGGACCTAGGGTGTAGGAGACCCATCAGTCTAAGGTGAAGGTTAGGACCTAGGGTGTAGGAGACCCATCAGTCTAAGGTGAAGGTTAGGACCTAGGGTATAGGAGACCCATCAGTCTAAGGTGAAGGTTGAGGACCTAGGGTATAGGAGACCCATCAGTCTAAGGTGAAGGTTGAGGACCTAGGGTATAGGAGACCCATCAGTCTAATTAAGGTGAAGGTGAAGATGGTCAGAGCATACTGACCGGAACGTCGAGTTTATACCTCTGGTTCTTCTCAGAACCATTCTCTTAGTTGAGAAATTATTCGCACATGGTGTTTCCGCAAACCTTTCATGATTTAGCATCTCCACCATGCAAAGCCTCAAATCTTACTTCTCTGTACATGGCTTTACAGTACTGCCATCAAGCTACAGCCATCTTGTTAAGAATGGGTTCCCATTAACAATATAACAGTGCTTGCATTTGCATGCATTACTGAATGCAGAATTGGTGTTCAGCTTTTAGACATGACTCCAATTTTCTGTAGCAATCAATCCTTTTTGCGTTTCAGCATCACGGTACCATTCAAAATTTATATGAAAATAGAATCATCATTTCTTGGACATCAATTCTCTGGCTTACATCACAATTGTCAAAATGGCGACTGCTCTATGTTCCGACATCCCTATGTTCTGACACCCCTATGTTCCGACAATCCGCACATAAATTTACTCCCTGTTAAGGTTACTGGGTTAGGGTTAGGGTTAGGGTTAGGGTTAGGAACTTGTGCATTCAGGACATAGGTGTGTCTGAACATAGGTGTAACACCCTCAAAATAACTGATTTCTGATAAACACTTTCTAACAAACATAATTATTTTGAAGTTTACCATTATAACCCATAACCCATTATTTTGAAGTTTACACATCAACTAAAACAAATATTCAAAGACACTACTTTCGTAAGATAATACAGTTGGGCATCATGTTTTGACTGTCAATGCACACCAGTTGGCTTTACATGCTTACTTGCAAAAAAAAAAAAAAATGACATTAGATGTCAAACAAATGAAACAAATTTAAAGTACTATAGTCAATCTGTTCTGATATTTTTACAAATTCAAAATCCAACAAGTTAGATTCGTTTCAATTCTAGCGGATCCTGCTAGAATCTTAAGATTAAGCCCTCAAATTTTTCGATTTGTGTATTTCAGGCCAATCAAGTCAGTTAACGGTTTGCAGCAGTTTTATTCATATTCATTTTTCATGATTAATATTAGGCCAAAAAAAAAGTCTCCGGTTTCTGGTATGGAGCTTGCCCAAAAAGTGGTGCGGCGACGCGGCTTTTTTCTTTTTTTTTACCTGATTTTTTTGCTTCAAATGTCGGCTGATGACTGCAAATGGTGCCCGACTATAACTTAGTGCAAATATATGGGAGTCCAGAGAGGCCACATAAAGCTTATTCTCGACCGTAACCCAATCTCAAAACACGTTAAAATTGTGCAGCAGCAGGATTCCAGTCAAACCAGTGAGTTTGGCGGTTTTGAGACATCATCTTTCATTGAAAAAAAACCTTTTTCATTTTGCCGACGCGCATGGTTACGGCGACGCGTGCATACCAGAAACCGGAGACTTTTTTTTTTGGCCTTACTAAAACTCATTCATATGTATTAGGAGTCCACTTTTTTTCTGTCCTTGTTACATCTGACATCTATGATTTTATAATTCTGATGCACTCCTTAATGCAGTCGTCCTCCAAGAGTGATTGTGAATAGCAAACTACCTACCCAACAAATCAAATTCGTTTGAAGTCATTCTTAATGACACCTGAATGGTAAATTACAAAGTACGTGTAGCAGATAAAAGGGACAGGAAAAAAGTCACACTTTGGAACATTAATTTGTAGAATGACCCATTAAGGTTTAAGAAAAAATCTGTCTCCGGTAAGGTGTGAACGATACTATTACTTAGGTGGTCGCAAAAACTACACTCAACCAAAAAAGAAAGTCCCCCCCTCCAATACTTTTTTGTTAAACTCAAAAAACAACTGAGCACCTCTCGCTCAAATAATGACTTATCAGTACTTACATTCCTTCAATCGGCCATACTCTCTACTTGGCCCAAAACAGTGATAATGTGTATGAATTCATGCAATTTATGACAAATGATACCGAAAACAGTTGCACTTTTATATACGTGCAAGTTGTGGTTTACACTCACCTTGCACACATACAAAAGTACAACTTTTTTTTCGGTACCATTTGTCATAAATTGCATAATTGTGTACACATTATCACTGTTTTGGGCCAAACAAAGAGTATGGCTGGATTGCTAAGGAATTACTGTACTGATCAGTCGTAGTTTGAGCAAGATGTGCCCAGTAGTTTTTGAGTTAGACAACAAAGTATTGAGGGGGGGGGGGGCTTTCTTTTTGGGTTGAGTGTATTACCCCACACCACAGAGTTGACTGGTTTGCAAGCAATGTAAATGATCATATCCTAATTAGTTTAATTATAATTAGTTTAAGTGTGGTTTAAGTGCATTAGGCCAAAAAAAAAAGTCTCGGGTTTCTGGTATGCGCGCGCGTCGCAGTAACCATGCGCGTCGGCAAAATGAAATAGTTTTGTTTTCAATACAAGATGATGTCTCAAAAACGCCAAACTCACTGGTTTGACTGGAATTCTGCTGCTGCATAATTTTAACGTGTTTTTAGATGGGGTTATGATCGAGAATAAGCTTTATGTGGCCTCTCTGGACTCCCATATAGTTGCACTAAGTTTAGTTGGGCACCATTTGCAGTCATCAGCCGACATTTGAAGCCAAAAAAAAAAAAAAAAAAACAGGTAAAAAAAAAAAAAAAGCCGCATCGCCGCACCACTTTTGGGGCAAGCACCATACCAGAAACCGGAGACTTATTTTTTTTGGCCTTAGGGTGTTTATTTGTTTATTTGCATTATCTTACTGATATAATTATTTTTCAGTGAATTACAGTTTACAAAATATATGGGCTGCATTTTCCCCACAAAATTATTTTGAATAATTATGGTACATGGTAGTCTCAGCACAGGTTTCATTAAAAAAAAATGACAAATATACATGTAAAACCAAACTCTATTTCATCTATGGAACTATTCAAGTATGTCTTTAAGTGAAGAGGAAATGTACCCTCTGAAGTCACGATTTAAAAAAAACAAAACTTTTTTTTTAAGAAGTAGATGAAACTTTCAAAACCATAGAACATGGTTGTACATGTTGCGCTTAAGAATTTTCAAAAGCAGATGTCAAGTTTTCGGTGATGAAACAGGCATACTTATACATAAATCTATTCCCCGAATCCAAGAAAATGTTACACAAATATTCCCAGGAAGAATCCTAGCCATCCTGGCAAATCCCAACACCATACGGAAAACTGCACACACACACATATACATCTGACTTTGATTCTGGAAGTGTGCCAACCCAATGTTAAAGACTGTCAGTTTAGGGGTACTGTACTCATCCTGACAGATTCCAACAATGCCGTTGGGATTTGATGGGTTGAGTTCTGTTAGGGTGAAAGCATTTTGAGCTAACAGCAAACTTGTTACCGATTGACGAACTTGACAAGATTTTGGTCGGAATAAGTACAAAATCAGTGATTGGTACTGTATAAGAGCAAAGGTGTTTACAGGAAACGGCAAAGGTGTTTACAGGAAACGGATTCCGTTTTCTGTTAATTTCTATGATCACCACTGCTACCTCCGCCACCCCCAAAATTGAAGGTGCTATGTGAGACGGATCCAATGATGACGGGGCTGTTTCTGCCGGTAATGGTGAGCCGGCCGACGTAAGGAACTGTGCCAGGCGGTGCATGGTAGGTGTAGGTGGTAGGATGAGCTTGTTGCGGCTGGTTATAATTAAAAGACGTCTGTGACTGTGGCTGAGCTGATGTTTCTTGTGGATTGATGATATTGGCTGTGATCTGAACCCCACCGCAGGCTGCATCTGCCGTGTCTACTGGGGCTCCTTGGGGAACTGCAACAGCCGTTCTCGCTGCGTATTAAAGGGAATATACAACATTTGCAAACATCAAAAAACAAAACTACCATATTATTATGAAATACCTTACTGGACTTTTATTGAATGACAGTCTAAAGCATCCTGTAAAATCATGGCACCTGGATTGCTGTCATTTTCAAGAAAAAAAGGTATTTTTGTATTAATTTCCAACGCTGGTCAGCCGACCAGTGTCGGAAAAACCTGACTTTTTTTCAACTACTGCCCCTAATCTACCAAATTTATCCAGTCCACATTTTGTTTGCAACTGGTTACATCTTAAGTGGGGTCAGGGAACCAGACTACAGGAACATGATTGTTTTTCTTGGTTTTTTCCACCATCTACGAACACAAAACCTCCAAAAAGTCAGTGAAACAATATTTGCTATAAACTACTAACCCCCCAAAACCATCTATTTCTGAAAATTTTGGCAAAAGCAAATGTAGTAGGTAATTAGTCATCTGACCTTTTGCACGGCGGCCATCTTGGAGGGAAATGAGAAGACTTTTTGTGCATTTTATTTATGTACAGCGATCACGTGCCTGGATTCATTCATACATGTACATGTACATACATGTACAAGTACATACATACATTGATGTACTTTTAAAGTCAAGATTTCACCAAAACTGGACTGACTATGTACATGGAGGTTTTAACAAATATGCAGATTGTTCAAAAAAATTCAGACACAAGAACTACATGTGCACATAGATGTAAACTACAAATTGTCCCCCCCCCCTGAAAAAAGGTCATTGTGTTTTTATGGGCAAGAAGCACTGCAACAGTTGGGTCTCAATGTTGTAGTCAACTTAGTCAAGACCATCACAAGTCCAGTCAAAAGTAAATCACACTATCCTTTCACAAATCATGTTACAACCTGGAAAAAAATACATTTTAGGCTGAAAAAAATCTTTAATCCAATAACTTAACAGCCATGGAAATTGAGACAGCAATTTTCAGTGGTCAAAATCACAATGCCATCACGAAATTCAGTGACGGTCTGATCGATCATCATGGAAAAATGAACTTAACCTAATTAACCCTGCTAAATGCAACAGAAAGCAACAAAGGCAAAAACTTGTTGCATACTGTTGCATTAAGCCGCCAACTCAAGTCCCCGAGCTCTGTTGCATCTTGCAAGCTTGTTGCACTTAGCAGGGCAAGTGCTCATATTGCCAAGGCGATACAAGAGTATCAACTGTTGCAGTTTGTTGCATTTAGCAGGGTAGCTGCTTGGTACCAAGGCTGGTGTGCACTGGGTTCACTGCACAATGCAACAGAATCCAATGTTGCAGTTTGTTGCATTGATCAGGGTTCTCATTTGAGTTGAGTTGATATATTGTTGCATTTAGTAGGGTACCTGAAGAATACCTGGATTAACCCTTACCCTACTAGACCCTCCAACGCATGCCAATATGTGCCTCAAGAAAATCTCCTATGTTTTTTGCATGGCCCTCCAATATCTGCCATGTCATTTCAAGGGTAACTGGACAGGCACTCCAATACATGCCACAGAGAACAATGAGAGTCCTCTGATAACAATCAAGTGCCCCCAGCTGGTCAGTATCAGGCACCCTCCAGGGCCTCCAACTCCTGCCAATTGGAGCCTTCACTGCTACATCAAAGTATCCTCCAATAAACTGCAGCTGGAGGGCATTGGCATAACCAACTGACATGCAGTAAACTACCCTCAGAGAGTAAGGGTTAATGGCCACTTTGCAGAAAGAAGGGCCCTATATAACATTCAAGTTTAACATTAATACCGGTACCTTGTAACTTGTCAGCCAAATCATTCCTGTCTACCCTCCTCAGTGCAGTCAGCAACTTCTCTCTTGCACCTAATTCCGAAACTCCTTCTTTCTGCCTCCAAGCTACCAGCATTGCAAAGATCTGGTTGGACACGCCATGATGATCCACTTCAAACCTGTACATCTTATTATTGTCAAAGTCCAGCTCTGTACCTAATCTCTGCCATTCCGGTCCCAGCAAGTCTGCTAATTCTCTAAAGTACTTTTCATCCAGGGCCATCTCCAACTGCTGATGTGAAAAATATAGTGTACATGTAAATATCACCATTTGCCAACATATCTCCAATTATCCTTCATTGTCCTTATGATTAATACCATTACCCCTTTTCACCTTCTTGTTTTTTTTTCTTCGGATTTTTGTTGTAACCGTACACTGGAGAGATTAGCAGAGAGTGGTTTACAAACGGGGGGGGGGGGGGGGGGGGGGGGGGGGGGGGGGGGGGGGGGGGGGGGGGGGGGGGGGGGGGGATGTGAAAATCAAAATTTGATAAAGTTTGACATGTTTTCGTACATGGTGGAAGTGTGGCCTTTATTTACGGAGGTAGTCTAGTAAATTGGCCACATTTATGGCGCTAACTCTCCATTAGCCCCACTTGTGTGGCCTCAGTATTGCTGCGCTGTGCGTTAGGCCACACATCTGGTTTCCCAATTATTAGGGAGTTTAGTCCAAACACTGGTGCATATGCAATGATATGGACTCCAGAAAGATGCTAAATTTCTCGAAAAATTTGAAGAAATATTACCTTTACCCGGAAGGCAAAAAATGAGAAATCATAGAATACAACCATTCAATTTCATTCATTCATTCATTTAACATTTATTTCCAACTCTGTATACAAACGCAAATAATATCGTCAGTCCACCTAAAACGACGAGGATATGTTTTGACGCACTCGCATTCAATTTGCGTTGGACAACGCGCGCCCATTGCAAGCGTTATCTGCGTCAATTATGGTGACTCGAGGATATACAATATAACGAAATAAATTAACACGAAATGAAATACATGTAATAATCAAAAAGGGTCAATAATGTACATGATATTGAGCAGTGGTATGTAAAAAAAAAATGCACAAACTGCGCCAGTGTTTGGAATAACGCAGTGGCTATCGTTACGGCAGCCGTAACGCATTTCCCATTTTCTATCGTAATACGGTAGAACTGCAACTTTTATTAAAACATGAGAAGAAAATATAAAATTAGAACTTACAAATGTAGAAGGAAACAAGTGAATTTGAACATGATGAACGTTATGAAATTCGGACTTTATTTCCCTTTTCAAAAAATCCTCCAAAGCCTCAGGTTAGAAAAGGAAAAAAATTTGAGTGCGAAACGGAGATGCGAACCCGCAACTTCGCAGTGCAAAATCCTACCCTCAATCGACTGAGCTGTCGCACTGCTGGCTAAAACGTGGGGAAACAAATTTATATACCTGTGTGCGTATCAAAAAAGTATCGTAGAGGGCGCTAAACAACGGCTGCCGTAACGATAGCCACTTCGTTGGAATAAACTCCTCAGTAGTATACTGGAGGACCTGGCGTGTGGCCAGAGATTACAGGAATACAGTCATGACAGTGCAGTAGCCCAGGTTGGACGAAGTCTTCATTGCAATACGACTAACGTCCAGGGCAAGAATTCTCTACATGAAACCACCCAACATTTTTACCAAAGTTTTGTTATGTTTTACCTTGTTACAAAAGCTTATTTCACGCCTGCATGTTCTATGTATCCTTACCTATTGGGCTGCTGGGTTCAGGAATTCCATATGTGATGCTGACTGACATTAATCAGGAAAATTCTAAAGCAGCGTTAAACTTGTACGTGTTTGTAGTCTCTTTTCATCAGTTTATTCCCAGAGTCGTACGTCATGTACAAACTACAATGTACGTGCGTACGAAAGCATGCACGCACGCTAGGCGCCCTCATTTGTTTAGTTTTGGTTGGAACCGTGACGTCACTCCAGCCAACCGATGTCACGAAAACGCTCAACCAATGACCAAAGCCGAAACGTGTTTCTGGTAACTGGCGCGAAAACACGCTCGGTCATTGGATTAGCGACCGCGCCTTCAAGTAAGTGCGCGTGCGTATGAGAGTGGTTACTAAGCAAATCGCGCGTGCGCACTGTATTCATGCTTCATAGTCTGGCCCCCGGACCAGACGTGATGAGCGTCGAGAATAATTGTCCGGTCTAGGGAACCAGACTACACGCTGCACAGACGTACGTCATGTACACCGACTAGAATAGACTCGGCGGTGAGAAACTTGGTACTTGGTACTTGGTGGTTATCCTCTTCAGAACTCCTCGAGGAAGTATAACTAAGAGGCTTGGAGAGTGGCATAATAACTAAATCAATGATTTAAATTGATTGTGGTTTGGGGCATTGATGGGCATTGGTTTAATTCCCTCCTCTCTTCAAGTGGTGTCCAGCCCAAGGTAGCCAACATCTGAGTTACGCTGCTTCTTCTTGAATAATCCTTGCAGACGAAACGTGCAGCTCGCCTCTGGACTCTTTCAAGTGAAGAGATGTTTTTGATGGCATATGGGTTCCAAGCAGTACTCCCATATTCAAGGAGGGGCCTAACCAGGGTGAAATATAATTTCTCTTTGACGGACTTTGAGGCTGGGTAGAAGTTTCTCATGATGAAGTTGAGGACACAGGTGGCTTTATAGGCTGCATGTTCAGTCTGGCGGTTCCAACTCAAATTATTCTGGATGATGATACCGAGATAAGTGATCTCAGCTTTTACTTCAAGATTTACCCCTAACATGGTGTATGATGGTTTTACCGAGTCTCTTTTTCTGGAGATTCTCATGATATTGCATTTGCTTGGATTGAATTTCATATCCCATGTATCTGCCCAGGCAGCCAAGGTATCAAGATCTTTCTGGAATGAATGCTCATCGGATGGAGAATGAATCTTGCGGTACATCAAACAGTCATCAGCAAAAAGTCGTGTTGTTCCACCCACAGAGTCGTTAATGTCATTTATGAAGAGTAGAAACAAGTGCGGTCCCAGGACTGTTCCCTGCGGAACTCCACTTAATACTTGATGCCACTTGGATGTTTCACCATTGACCATCACCCGTTGTAGCCTGTCTGTCAGAAATGATTTAATCCAGTTCTGAGTTTTACCTCTGACTCCATAATACCCAATTTTTTGGATTAGCTTCTTGTGAGGGATGACATCGAAAGCTTTCGAGAAGTCTAATACTGCAACATCTGTGGTTATCTGGTTGTCGAAATTACTGGTCAGATCTTGCATGGTCATGACGAGCTGTGATTCACATGACAAGCCTTTCTGGAAAGCGTGTTGGTTCGGGTTCAGGATTCGGTTGTCTGTAAGATGTTCCATAAGATGGCTGTCTATGATGTGCTCCAACAGTTTACAACTAGCCGACGTCAGTGAGATAGGCCTATAGTTGGAGGGATCATATCTGGAGCCCTTTTTGAAAAATGGCGCAACATTTGCTTTTCTCCAATCTGTAGGCAGAGTGCCAGTGTCGAGTGACTGTTGAAATATGACTGCAAGCATTGGTGCAATAACATCAGCAGCCAGTTTAAGTGCCTTGTTAGACAGAGCATCGGGTCCTGCAGATTTACTGGTGTTAACCTCCTTCAGCAGCTTGGCAACGCCATCCACGGACACCACGATGTCAGGCATGTCAGGATATGGAATGGATGGTAAACTCTGCTGGGTATCTGTATCAACCTCCCCTTCTCTGGTGAACACACTACTGAACTGGTCAGCTAACACATCAGCTTTTTCTTTATCTGTGGTGATGTTTGTGTTATCTTTTTTGAGAACCTGTATGGCCGTGTTGTCTTTCCTGTTGGAGTTAATAAATCGCCAAAACTGTCTTGGATTTTCAGATGAGGTAATATCCTGTAGGTGAGAACGCTTTGCTCGGCGAACCTCACGGTTGACTTTCTTCTGTAGTATTTTGAAGTCTTCCCAGTCTGATGTTAACCCACTTTTCTTTGCTTTCACATAACGCCTCTCTTTCTTTCTGCACATGCGTATTAGGTCAGTTGAAAGCCAAGCAGGTCTAGGTCTGCCTTTGGCAATCTTCTGAGGAACTAGTTGATTTATGATATCAGTCAACCCATTTTTGAAGATATTCCAGTTTTCCTCCACAGGTTTCGTTAATGGAGATGAGTTCATAAAATCAGCTTGTAACTTGGATACTGATTCAATGAAGCCAGGTTCGTCAACATCCTTCCATCGGAAAATGGTCCTAGGTGGTTTCGTGGGTTTGGTCGCCCTGATGTTAACTTCTGCTATCACTGCTGCATGATCACTAATCCCGGAACTTGCACGGGTGTTGTTGACTAAAGTTGGGCGTGTAGTGAACAAGAGATCTAAAATGTTCTCCGTACCAGACGCCGGGTCCCTTCTCGTTGTGAAATTTACCATCTGATCAAGGTTAAACTGATGAAAAGAGTCTACAAACACGTACAAGTTTAACGTTGCTTTAGAGTTTATTTTCCTGATTGACGTCAGTCAGCATCGCATATGGAATTCCTGAACCCATCAGCCCAACAGATAACTTTAAGGACACATACTGACATAGGAGATTAGAATACTACGACGTCAAAATTAGCTTCTCCAACAAGTTAAAAATATTGAAATTATTGGTCAGAAATGTTTTCGTTCGGTTTTGAGCACTTTTTACCCAGGACTCCCTCCGTTACGTAGGGAGGAAAGAGAGTCCACCTGGGCTAGACAGTGCAGCAATATCGCGGCCACAGTGGGACTAACTCTCCATAGACTTTGTACACAACCGCTGAAGTAGCGCGTCAGGCCAGGTTGCAACATTCTTTCCAAAAGAACTTACCCTTGCTCAGCGTGTAGTTCCGAAAAGGTCAAAGAAAAAAAGAACTCAGAAATCTGTTAACCAGAATTTTGAGTTTCCACAGTCCAGCAGTAGGCCTACCTACACTAGGGTAGGCTACAGTTTCAGAAGGAAATATCGATATACTTCGTCTGAGTTTCTGAAGCCTGAAGGAAATATCGATGTATGCACTTCGCCTGACGTGAGCAATAACGGGAACACCGCCCTCTATAGGTCGCCACCCTTACACAAATTATTGAGTATTTTTAACAAGTGCAATTTCGCAAGAACCGATTTTAGTCAGGTGGCTTAGATCTAATTTTCGTCAAGATCGTGACCGACTGGTCCAAAGCACCAAACTTGGCAGATATATTCTTATAGACCTAGAGAAGATATTTAGAAGGGGTGACACCTGAAATTCTTTTGGGAAGGGTGCCTAATTTGCATAAATCGTTAATCCCTGACGTGTAATATATTTATTCCCATATTTGGGTATATTTCCATTTTTTTTATTTTTTTGAAAGTGTATTTTGGGGATTCTAGTTACATATCTTTACTTAAATAACATTTTCCAAAGCATATAAGTGACTGAATAATTATGAGGACATAGTAACGATCCAAAATGGCTACTATTATGACCTAAAATTGCGTGCATTTACCTTGTCTCCAGATATCATCAATTAGTCTTGCCAAACATTAGCATTGATGAACTTCAAATTCACCAAGTAGCTAACTGGTACAGCTACCCTATTAAAACCTTATGCAAAATCATGTGAACTATGATAACATTGTGATATTAAGCACAGAAAACAAAAACTGGGGAAAACGAGGTGTCCATAAACTAGGCTAACAAGTAGGTGAATGGTTGCCTAACATGGAACACTGGAACAAGTTCAAGGAAATTCCCCTAATTATTGTTGAGAAAAGGTTTTGGCGTAGACAAAATTATTGTAAACAACAATAATCTCTTATTTAGGGGGATTTTGTTGAACTTGTTTAAGTTCCCACGTTACCCTTCTCGTCCTAGCCCAATTTACGGACACCACATTTTTTCCCCTTTTTTGGTCTTTTGGGCTAAGCATCAAGATGTTATCAATTTTCACTTGATTTCCCACTTATTTTTGTTAGGGTAACTATGCCAGTAAGTAACTTTGTAAATTTGAAGCTCATCAATACCCACGTTTGGCGAGACTAGTTGATGATATCTGAGGAAAAGGTAAATGCGCGTAACTTTAGGGTAAAATAGTAGCAATTGTGGTTCTTTACTATGTCCTCCTAATTATTCAGTCACTTATATGTTTTATAAAATGTTATTGAAGTAAGAATATGCAAGTAGAATCACCAAAATACACTTTTCAAAAAAATAAAAAAATAAAAATATACCCAAATATGGGAATAAATATATTACACGGCAGGGATTAACGATTTATGCAAATTAGGCACCCTTCCCAAAAGAATTTCAGGTGTCACCCCTTCTAAATATCTTCTCTAGGGCTATAAGAATCTATCTGCCAAGTTTGGTGCTTTGGACCAGTCGGTCACGATTCCGACCATATGCCACCTGACTATTTTTGAAGGAAGCCGGGGAATACCCTTAGATTAGAATGGGACGGGGGGGGGGGTGGAGATGGAGGCGCATTTTTTGTCCGAATCATTGGGCAATTTTTCTTTCTTTATTTAATAATTTCTTTAATGATATTTAAGTGAATGACATTTTCGTCCATAATTATTAACAAACTCCCCCCAAAACTTGAACAATCCATATCCATTCATACACACACACACCCAACCCAACGAAAGAATGTATTATCCAGACACCACCTCTTTGGTTGTGTACAAAGTCTGTGGAGCCGAATGCATTTTCAAAAGTATTTTCTAACAAAACTGGAATAGTTTCTCCGTCCAAGATTCATATCTTTTCAATTTTTTTGCAATGACTGACCTTTATTGATGGATAATATATAATGAAAAAAGTGGCGTCAGGATGCAACTTTCTTTCCCAAAACAAAACAAAAAATGGTAACACAATACAAACCAACCAAGAACAAACATACATGTATATAAAAGGTTCATTTTTACACTAAAAGAAAAATTAAATAATTTATTGTACCAAAAGAATAATGCAGTTCAGTGACCCTAACAACCCTGAAAATCCATGCCCCTGTTTTGGAGCATTTCGGCGGATGCAGGATACATCCATATCAAAAACTGGGGAATTTTGATGGATTGAGGATTGTAAGCCTAACGGTACGGCAGGATTTTGATGGATTCAGGATACCGCCTTACTGAGCAGTCACCAACACCAACATTTTTGTGCATGACACAATAGGTGGATTTTGGCAGATTCAGAATACTTTCTGGTAAAAGTGCCAAACTTGGGTTAATAAACAAGAACATCACCATAACAGACAATTACATCCATGCAAATTTTCTTCTGTCATTTATTTCAAATGTCAACATTGAAAAAAGGCAACAACTAAACTTAAGAGCAATTAAGTCAACAACAAAACTTGCTTTTTGAATCACTCAGAAAACGGCAGTACTGTAAAACATGTACAATTGCACTCATCCGACACATTTAATTTCAACTTGATGGCAATTTACTTACAATTTAATATTTTTAAGTGGTAAAGATATATTATTGTCGTTGAAATGAATTCTTGCAAGAGACCTCGCAGTCTGGTGAATTGTGACAATATTCCCATTTTTTTCTCACTTTAGCTCTGCTCCTAATTTATTTATAATGAGAAAAATGGTACAATGTGGAGAACAAACTGCAGCAATATAAGTATTTTTGCAGCTGATACGCACAAAAAATAAATATCACAAAATAATTTTCAACTTTCAATTTCGTATTTTTGAGATTGAATGACATTGGGCATTGTTAATGTGAACAGATGACACAAGGACATTGAAATAGAAATGAAAAAATAGAGAAAAAAACAAGAACACAGAACAAGATCAAAGGTTTTGATGGTCTCTAATAAGAACCCAGTTTTTTTAATCTTTTTTTTCATCAATAACGGCCCTCAAAGGAAAACTTCAAAACATTGAACTGACTTTGTCAGCTGGGAAGTGGAAAAAAAATCAGAAAACCTATTTCAGAAAATAAGTAATTTTCTAGACTACACGTAACTGTTTAATTTCCAGTCAACAAAATGAATGAATAAGTCAACATATTCAACAGATTGAATGTATCCAATCGTTATATTTCTTCTATGCACAGATCCCAAATAGATAAACATTTTTGAATGTTCACACATTTTCTTTAATTCTTCAGTAAATAGCTTTCCGATGGTCAGGTGACTCACAACTCATCCTTGATTGGTCAATCCGGTTCGTAAGTGACTGCGTCAAACAGGTGCACCCACCACTGAATACTAGCGCCCATTGGCTAATGCCACTTTGCACAACTTCTGGTGTAGCGTGAATATCCGACTCCATGAAATGTGGACTCATTGGTAGTACTGCGCACGCGTGAGTACGATACCATGCTATTTTTAGGATCGTTTCGGGAGAGTGACCTGACACGTGCGAGGGGTTAACCAATAATAGGGGTCCAATTTTCATAGGAGTCCGATTTTCATGTGATACCGGTTCCAATGGTTCCAATGCTTCTCCGTGTGTGTGGGCGTGGTTTAAGTCACACTTGTGAATCGGATAGGCCAAGTGTACTGAATCATGTTATATTATTGTTGACAATTTTCACTCTTTCCACTGACTGTTAATTCCTTTAATGATAAAGTTTTTAAACATCTTTTAATGTAATAGTTTTGAATGGTGATTAGGATAACCAGATTTTCAAAATCTGGTTCTCCTAATATTTTTTCAAACAGAAGAATATCAGTCACGCTGACAAAAAGTGCTTGATGTGCTATATGCAATACCCTACACAATGAGTGGATATAGTTTGCATGATTCATTGACCACTTGGCCTTTAAAAAACATTTCAGAGTTGTAATGGTAAAAAAAAATTGATAGGAACTCTCTGATCAGTCAAATGGGCAGGCGTTTCATATACCAAGAAGACTGCTAGTGAGTGAATGCAGTTACAATCAGAGATCATGGAGCAAATTGGGAACGTTCCAGTTGTTTTCTTTATCTCGTGTCAAAACAAATGGAAGGCTTTCCTTTTTTTTTTTTAGGTTGGTTCTGAATATCCAGTTTTCAAAATCCAAACTGAATAGTGAAATTCAAACCGAATATTAAAAAAATCTGGGTTTTAATCCCACCACTAATACTTCTCAATTTTAATTGCAAATTGCATTCAAACGTCCACATAATTTGCATACATTTACTAACATTAAAGCATTGCCTTGAATAGAATTTAAATACTTTGCAATCTCTGTTTATATATTCGATCAAAATGTTTGTTTTTTTATATCATATCAATTATTTAAGTATAACAAAAGCAACCTTGCATTTCAATTTGAGCATAATGGCAAAGCATGAACAAAATATATCTTAAGCATATGTTGTGAAAATTCAACGGCAAAAAAACAACTTGAAAAGACTTTGAAAACATTGCAAGATAACTCTACCTCAACTTATTAGTTGAGGACTTAATAATTGAAATGCGCTTTATTTCCATGTGTAAACAATTTCAGTACAATATCCTCCACAATCCACTGATAAGGGGTTTGAAGGATTCCACAGGATTAAGGCAGCCCAGCAGTAATCACTTTATGGGACTTGATCCCATTTGAAAGTAAAAAGAATATGGAGGATTTTGGAGGATTCAGGAAGAATCATAGCTTACATGCCTAACGTAAAGAGTTGCTGAAATTTTGTTCCCAAAACTTGTTATGATGTGTCCAATACGTTTGATTATTTTCCTAATAACCACTCTCAAACAGACGGCCTTCACAAGCAGAGTTTTCTTGAATTTAGATATTTCCTTTTAACTAAATTCTGAGTTTATGATTTGATGTTCAATAAAAGCAATTTTAATGTTAGCCATTGCAGGCCTAGCTTTACTGTGGCCAGAGTAATACTCATGTACACATTTTTTGCCTTCCTTATCGACTTGTGTTTAAATAGAAATTAAATTGAATTTGATTGAATTACATTGAATGGAGACGAACAGGATACGATAAAAAGCATTGTCTCAACAAACTCAGCAGCACGGCCAAGGCTGCAAATATGTCCCTTTGTGACTCTCAGTTTGGAAAACAAATGTTTTTATACGCTACAAAAAACTTACAGGATCTTACCTTTTTAAAAAATTTTACGAACACAACAAGATTCTGAGTGTAAGTATCTGGTAGAGTTGAAGAATTTCACAACAAAATCAACATATTGCACATGATTATTCAAAGCGTAGGCACAGTTGACCATCATGTGAGATCCACAGGTTGGCAGTGCATGTTGTTGAATGGACTACAGATCTGCTGGTACAGCGGCACACGGTGGAAGATACCAATGTTGGCAAAGACGACTTCAGACTGGTAGAACCGGAAGAACGGCCCCTCGCAGCTGGAACACTGCTTGCGACTCCTCAGCAGCGCTGTGGACGACAAGGAAACAAATAAGCCATTTGCAAACAACCTATACCCTTTGAGAGTTAAATTCCAATAAAATCTGGTACAGTGACTTGTTCACAATGCTTATTTTAACTTCGAGTTCTCCAGACCAAAGACACTGTTGCTATATCACATGATTCGGGGCAAGCTCTTGCATAGTTATGTAAGAGACGCTCAGCATCAATACACTGTTCACAATGGGTGAGAATGGCACAAAGGCATAAGACCATGCTGGAGCTCGGGTTGCTAGTGTAAGGCTTGCCCTGAATCATGTGATATAACAACAGTGACTTTGGTCTGGAGAATTCAAAGTTAAAATGTGCCAAGCATTCGAGCAAGTCAGGGCACCAGATATTACTCAAATTTAATTCGCAAATGGCTTATTACGATTACAGTCAGGTTTGTGGCTGCAATACACTTTTCTGGAGTTGTAATACGCTCCGTGCGCTAACAAGAGAGGCTGTTTGTTTTACCACTTTTGAGAGCCCAGTGCACGGGACACACCATGTGTGCGTACTGGTTCAAACGCGTATAGCGTAAAGCACGCCAACTTATTCTATTCTCAATGTGCACAAAGCCACATAGCGTCTTGGCATGAGGGTCTGGCGTCGTCGGTGACGTTTAAATGTCTCTCTGATGGTCTCCTGCATCTCTCCCTTTCTTGTCAATGAGGGGTAACTTGCGCACGGAGCCCGTAACCAAGCCAGTCACATGTCATCAAAAGTGATCCACAAGTTATTCAAATTTGTTAATCCACTTTTACGTGTGACCACCTGGACTTGTAAATTGACTTGCGATTGACTGAATTATAGCTCCACCCTTTCCCACCACAGATTGAGACTGCACCTTGAGCTTTTAATAACCCTGGGTCCCATACACCAACGTTATTTCTCCACTTGTTTCATTAACCCTAACCCTCTGCAATCCTCCAAAATCAGCCAGGCAGTTTTGGAGGATTTTGGAGCATTGAGGCTGATTTAAAAAGGTGTGAGGTGAGTTGATTTGGGGGATGCATTGTGTCAAGGTCTTAAGCTGTACCCAGCAACGTTTATGTTCAGCCATGCATAATGCACTGAAAACTCAATATTGGGCAAAACCCAGTATTGAATTAACATCACCCAGACGCAAATTCCATCTTATGAATAAATCTGGACTGTATCATGTTTAAAGATGCATACCCCATGCTTTTTGGAAGGGATTTTTTTGTCTCCTAACAAATTTTTAATTTGTATGTTTTGTTCTAATGAAAAAAAAATACTTTTTTCCCCCCGATTTTCGGTGTCAGCAAACACTCTGAAAAAGGGATTTCATTTTGTGCACAAATGAACCCGCCCTGCGTCATGTGCGTAGCCAATTATTCAAATTTTGTGAAGGAATACTAAACGTCGGTGGATTTTGTTGATCAATGTCTCATTCAAAAGTGAATAACTTTTATATTGCTTGGAAAATAGCAATTGAAAAATCAAAATCTATTTTTCCATGTGACACTAGAAAATAGCGCACGGGGAACGCATCTTCAATTAACCAACCTGCCAGCTCTGATGGTAAGTCCCCATCCATCCAGGCCACGTTGCACCGGGCGACTTGCCTGGCTGCGAGCTCTACTAACGGTGGAACATCGGTGTCTGGACTGATGGTCAGCTTAGCCCTAGCTGGCCCATCCCACTCATACAATAGTGGATTCTGATTGGCTGTTGGGTTCAAATCAGGTCAAAGAGTATTGATGATTACATGCAAGAAGTGCAAACAAATACTTGCCATGGAAAAAATATCTTGATGACCCTGCTTGACGAATTCCAAATATGAATTTTATTAGGACAAATTAAAAGTGATAGTGCTCATACTTTTTCCATTCGTCTTACAGTATCAAGGTAGCGTTCCTAAATATACGCGTAGTGGACTAGAGTCCCAAGTTGCTGCATATGTGGTTCCCTGTGTCACAAGGAAATTAAATGTGTAGTTCCGGACTTCAGGCATGCAACTGGGAAATCACAAAAAAAGAGGGAATTCAAATTTTTCCCAGACTTTGTACAGTGTTTTTCTATTTTCAATGGCACACATTGGAAGTAAAAAAAGAGGAAATCAGCTGATCCGAGGATAAGTTGCATGCCTGGGACTTAAGGCTCGGCACTTATACTCGGCACGAAAGCGAAAACGAATTTGTGATTTCAGGGCAAGTTTTTGCGCTGCGAATTCGCTGAAGTTTAACACATTTCAACTCTGAGGAACTTTGAAGCAACTGCTTTGTGACGTCAAATTTCATACAATTCATACAAAAACAGACAGATTGTTTCTGAAAAAAAAAGTCATTTTGTTGAAGTGGGTTGCCAAAAAATGTTTCAATTTCAATAACAAAGTGTTTTTTTTTTCACAAGGTAGAAAATGGAATCATTATTTATGCCCATCATGTCAAAACCCTTGGTATGACTGAGCCTGAAATCAGGCAATTGCAGGACGACTTACATCCCTGAGTAAGTCACTGCATTTCCAAGATTGGAAGGGAGACGCATATAAGATCCCATCCCCCATCCCCTGTGTTGATATACAGTGAACACTGTATAGTGCCCTCTATTGACAAACTTCACCGTCTAACATGGCTGAATGTTATACTATGGCATGAAAGTTAATAAATGTTAATCCAGTTCAATCCTTGCCGCCCTGTCATCAAATCACAACATCCCCCATCCCACTTACCCTGTCCCCCCCCCCCCCCCCCCACGGTTCTTAAAGGATATAAGGCTTGTACAGTTTTGCTTCACACTTTCAAAAACCAACTTATAGGGCCTACCAAGTTTGGGTGTTGAATAGTGTACCACTCACCACTGAATGTGTAGAGTTGTAGATATGACAGAGAGGCCGGGAAGTATCGGATGCAGTTGTTTCTGACGTGAAGCTCTTTCAGCTGGTGAAGCCGTCCCAACTGGTCTGGCAAGGTTTGCAGCCTGGGGCACAATCATAAATGTGATTACATGTCTTCACTATAACCATGGTAACCCTCACCAGATCCACTATAGGACGTTTTATGAAAGATTGTGCAGGATTGACTAAAAGGGCTCATGAAATGTTATTTTTTTTAATGCAATCCTTGAAAATACACCTTTTTTCAATTATCGTTTTGCCAATTTTCAAGGGTATTTTGGTGCCTTTTTGGTTTCTATGCCAATGCCAATGTCCATTTTAAGCAAAAACCTCAATGCTACAGCTATTTCAGCATCAAAAGTTGCCAGAATTTTGGATGTTTCGCTGTCGTAAAGTGTATTTTCTTTGGCGATTCATTGTGTCACTACATGGCAGTAAGCCAATGAGCAAACTCTTCTCACAAATGTTTTCAATGAACACATTTGTTGATTCACAACTAATAAAAAACCCTAAACTTAACTTTTCTTCCTAAAATGACATCACAGCAACAGCCCCCTCAGTTGTCCGGAAAAACATGGAAATTTTGTGAATGTTTAGAGAAGTGCACTTTTCAATAACATGTACCAAAAGGGATGTCAAATAGTTTTCATACATTTAAGAGTAGAAAGTTAAACAAAATGTGTTCCTAAGAAACATACATCTCTAAGGCTGAGCGCGGCCCCTATGCCTTTTGACAGAAGTGCAATAAATTATATCTGTGCCAATGCCTCTGGCAAAATTGTGAATTCTGGAAGATTCAACAAGGTTCCTTGCAAAAAAATGCATAGGGGGTTCAATTAGGGTAACAAAAAATGAAGGGAATGAGGATATAATTGGATGATGCACAAATGTCAGCTCGTACACAGTCTCTGCAACGTGTATGGACACCGTGTAATCGTAACTGTAGTATGATTGACATGGTCTTGCAAACTTCTTCCTTCGAATGCACACAATTTGCACACACAAAAATTGCTGATTCAAGGCACAGCAGTACAATAAATCTGAAGCAGGTTATTACAAATGAAGCTGTCAAACTTTTACCTCATCATACTTTGAAAATGCATCGTCATTTTTCTTGACACAAAGCAAGGTTTCCGTTGAAATCCCTCCCTTCCGAAGTGTTCATTAATACGTTTTGACTTGCACCCTCTTGAAGCATGATCGACAGTTTGTCACTCAGGAAAAAAATTCTCACCCCTATCACTCACTCAATATGTAACCGATTGGAAACTAAACTGAATTCATTCAATTGGGACCAGTATTTGACAAAGCTTTTTTTTTTCTTTTGCCGTGTAACCTCAATCCTCCAAATTCCTCCACTTTGGCAAAGAGGATTTTGAAGGATTCAGGACGGTTAGGGTTAAAGGGAATATACATCATTTGCTTTTGCTGTAATTTTCAGAAATGGATGGAATTGGGGGGTTGGAAATATATAGCAAATATAGTTACACTGACTTTTTTGAGGTTTTGGGTTCGAAAATGCTATAAAAACCAAGAAAAACAATCATTTTCCTGTAGTCTGGTCCCTGACTCCATATAAGAAGAAACAGAGCAGTTTACATACATTGGGGAATTGTAAGGTCAGGGAACCAGTCTAGCTAGCTTGTACCCGTTCATAGGTGTGTAATCGATTGCAAACAAGTGCGATGGTCAATTGGGGCCAGTATTTGAAAAAAAGCCAGTGTTTTCCAACGCTGGTCGGCCTTCCAGCGTTGGAAATTGATACAAAAATACCACTTTTCTTGAAAATGACAGTATACCAGGTGCCATGATTTTACAGGATGCTTTACACTGTCATTCACTAACAGTCCAGCAAGGTATTTCAAAATGATTTGGTAGTTTGATTTTTTGATGTTTGCAAATGTTGTATTTTCTCTTTAAAGTGGGAGTCTGTGAAGCTAGACTTCAGTGAACTGGTTGCACAAAGAAAGACATGACGGCCAAACTAAGGTTTCTGTTGATTGCTTTTTAGAAAACTTACTTGTTGTTGGACAGCCAGACTTTGATGAGAGATGTGCATCTAGACAGAGAGTCTGGTAGTTCCATCAGCTCACAGGACGACAGATCCAGCTCTGTCAGCATTATCAACTTGCCCAGATCAGCTGGCATCTTTGTCAGTCTGTTTTCACCCAGGTACAAAGCCTGCATATATTGTGGCAGAATGAGAACAACAGATGGTCATCAGAGCGTAATTAAATGTATTAAACTGAATTAATAAATACCTTGGAGAGTTGATAGTTTCTGATTGGTCGAGACTCAATCACGTGGGGGTGTATTAACGGTGATGATAAAGACCGGCTTCGAGAACAAGCAAATAAATGGCCCCTGAAACAGCACTGATCCAGCATCATCAACAAATCATTACAAAAACACCACGAATGACTAGAATATCAGTTATTGAAGAAGTTCCAGAAAAAAAAGTTATTGTTTGAAGGCTCGCAAGATTATCTGCATGAATAAAACATAATCCCTCACAATCATGACAATGCAAGATGTGTCAGTGTGTTTGGGAATATGATCGTTGTGTATATAATCCATTAAAAAATCCAAACAACAGAGCAAGTGTAAGCAAGGCAACTGGATTTCATACCAATGTCCAAGATTCTTACCGTCAAGTTCAAAAGGTTACATATTGAGTCCGGTAGTTCAGTCAGCTGATTGGAACTGCAAAATAACAAGAACGAGAGCCACAATTAAGAGGATGTCAATACCAACCAGCGTAAAGCGTAAGTCACATAGGCAAAGTTTCTTAGATGGATTCAAGTTTTTGCAATTACTTGCAAACTCCAAAACATTCAACAAATGCGAGTGCACAATAAGCTCTGGCTGTCTTGCATGAAAGTCTTGCATGAAATCTATCAAAATGATCCCTGCCAGAGCTTAAAAATGCGACGCCGATGGCACATATGGAACACCATACTTCAGATTTATAGTGATTTGTGATTTGTGATAAATACCACATGACTATAACATTGCTGCACATATTTTGCCTCCATTCACAAACTTTACATAAACATCTTTCCGAATCGTTACAAACAATTTTTGTTAAGTATTTATTTATTTTATTTTTTAAATAGAAATTTTGTAGTCATATTTTATGGGAAACTTAGTGGCCTTATTTTGGTCCATTTTCCAGGGACAGACCGACTGACCACCAAGTGACATATAGAAGCTCCTGCCAGAGCTAAAAAGCAAATCAGCAATCAGCAATGGGATTTCACCTGTGAGCTCTAAATACAATGCTGCAGTAAATACAGTTTCATAAGTATAAAAAAAATAATTGAAAGCACATTGGCAAATATGTGTATGTGTGAGTTGTTTGTTCAGAGCAAACAAACCGTTCATTTACTGATTGTTTGCTTCGGTTTTGGGCGTATTGATTGTGAATACAAATTTTGAGCTTTCCATGGAGAGTGTGCACAAACCATAGAGCTATATTAAATTACTAGAGCGGTAACTCGCCATTGCGAGGAGACGCTTTGAAGCCATCCTGGGTGCAGACATTTTGAATTCATGTGCGTGTTTGTAGAACATAATGAAATTTTGAAAGTGTACTCTTCATGCAACGCGCAAGTAGAAGATACGCAAACAACTTAAGCACGTCATTGACGGTTAAAAAAAACGTGACGGATAAAAGCATCTGCAGCGAATACGCGCAAGCGTTGCACTGTTTGCGTAGAGCAAAATGGCACGCTCATTTGCTGATCGTGCGTTTCGGTTTGGGCGTATTGGCTTCGATAACGCACCGGTATGGAATACAAATGCAGATATGCAAATAGCCATACAAAAGCCGTACAAAATTTCTAGGTCTCCATGGGTTTGTGCACAAACATGGATACGTCCAGCAGGCATTACTTTGTACACGAAGTTAGCGCTCTAGTAATTTAATATAGCTCTATGGCACAAACATAGATGCCCTCTGCATATTACATGTACCTTGCATATGGAAAGTAAGCTTAAATGATCTAGCATTGGATTTGTGGTCTGCGGGTAAAGCTGCAGGTTGTGGGTTCGAGTCCAGCTTGGGGTTACGGTGCATGTGCCCTTGGGCAAGGCACTTTGGCACTCAATGCCTGTCTCCACCCGGGAGTAAATGGGTACCTGTGAGGGCCGAGATGGTCATTGTAATTGATTTAGCTGCTTTGCGCAGAAATGGCAGCATCGAGCTGTATACTCCCCAGGGAGCTGAGATGGTATTGGAATGTTTCATGGGCCCAATGAGCAGGGGTAATAAAGATGTAGTGCATTGAGCCCTAGTCCTGGTGGATACGTGCGCTTTATAAAAACCCACTCTCTAAGACATAAACTCACTGTAGACAGAGCTCCTCCAGTCTGGCAAGGTTCCCTATCTCACTCGGCAGTGATTGGAGTAAGTTGTTGGTGGCATTGAATATGGACAGTGAGCTCAGATTGCCCAGACTACGAGGCAACTTGCGTAGGTGGTTGTTCTTACAGTCCAGCTCATGGAGCTTGTGAAACTGTCCAACAGCATCCTGCATTGGGACGTCAGGAAAATAATGCTAATGGTAAATGTCTGATCACAACGTTATAAAGAGTACATGTAGATCATTTGCAGCTATCCAAAAAGTAACTGACCAAATTATTGTTAAAAAGCTTACTTGGTTTAAAGACAGTAATAGTAATGGCACTTAACTCCCTGTGAAATTATTCCTTCTGGCATGCTGTCAATTTGAAGAAAACAATAAAAGAAGGTCATTTCTGAAGATGAGTCAAGTGACACATTTTTGGAAATTTTTATTAGTAGTTGGCTTGCAACCAGGCAAATTCGTAAATTGGTGCGCGCAAGCATTGACACGACGCACTCGTGCGCAGTAGCTATTATTCATTGGTTCAGTGTGTGTCATTGCATACCTGCAATCAGCCGACTGAGAACATGTTCCGGATGCTGATTTCGGGCGCAATTCAAAATATGATTCGGAAACTTTTGAATTGAAATCAAGATCCTAGAATATTGTTTTCTCAGAATATACAGCATTCACTGAGCTAAAACTTCTTCAGGTTTAGTTGTTAAGCACCCGTCTTTAGATTTTGCGCACTTTTGTTGTTTCAAACGAAACAAATGCATAAAATTAGGAATGATCTACTCTACCTTTAAAGGGTGGTGTTGAAAAAAAAGAATATTCTAGGAAGCACTGAGGAGGTCATGGGTTCGAGCACACCCGGGTAGCTTGTGACAAATTTTTTCGTAAATCCTCGGACAGCAATACTTACCTCAGTGAAGGGTAAAACCCACTACTGAATTCACATCTCCCCTCCGTCATATAACAATGAACCCTTTAGTACTTGTATTACATTGTAGTACTACACTGTATTTACTCCTTGAGAAATCCATGTTGGGGCGATTTGGGGTGGTATAAGGAGTCATAGGCAGGGAGCTTTTGGGCAGTACATGGTCTAATGTTTGAAAAAAAATGTAACGGAGACACTAGGAACCGGAAAATAATGTCTGAAACGCTTTTGTTCCAGACAAAATGTCTGAAACATGAACAATGACGATTGTATTTCAGACATTTGGCCACCGTTTTAGACAAAAACTGACTAGGAAAAACTGACTAGGTGTATTATAATTAATTTAAGGTTACACAAAGAAATTGACTGGAGCAGGGTTTGAACCTGTGACCTCCGGATTGCCGTTGCAGTACTCTATCAACTGAGTTATTCTCCCTATGTTGGCGGTTCCCCATTTTGTCAATGTCTTTGTTCAAGGGGGGCTAGTCAGAAGCCATAAACTAAAGAAAATTTACTGGGGTGGGGTTTGCACCTGTGACATCCGGATTGCCGTTCCGGTGCTCCACCAACTGAACTATCCAGCCCTATGCTGGCGGTTCCCCATTTAGTCAATGTCTTTGTTCAAGGGGCGCTAGTCAGAAGCCATAAACCCGTATGCCATGTAGCCAGGGATCACGCCCAAAGTCACGATGCGAGCAACATAAGCAATGCTGCAAACCCCGCAAATAGTAAACGGGGATCACTCAGAGAGGTTACGGCTTTTTATTACAAATTTTCAAAGAAACCACATGGGGAAACTGTATGTATTTAAATTATGTTAAGGTTGAATAAAGAAACTGGCTGGAGGGGGCTTGAACCTGCAAACTTCGGATAACCGCAACGGAACGGTAATCCGGAGGTCGCAGGTTCAAACCCCGCTCCAGTCAATTTCTTTGTTCAACCTTAAAATAACCTCAAAATATCTGAAACATGAGCCTATCCAGAACCTGACCAGGTTAAGTTTCAGACATTTCCAGGTGACTGACATGCCAGTTTATTGATAGGCTTAAGTTTAAGATATTTTGAGGCCAAATGAATGTCTTAAACATGATTTTAACAGGTTTACATTTCACACAGTTGTCTCAAACGTAACAAGGGATTATGACATTTCTGAAATATAGTAACCATTGTTCACATTTCAGACATTTTGGCCCGAACAAAAGCATTTCAGATATTTCTGATTCATGGTGCGATTGATTAATTGAATAACTGAATAGCCACAGGAGTACTGACCGGTAGTTCCTTGAGGCAGTTGTACTGTAGGAAGAGTTCCTCCAATCCTCTGAGAAGACCAATTTCCTCAGGTAGCTCCGTCAGTCGGTTGTTGATGAGATTGAGACAGACAAGCTGAGTGCCGACGTAACCGATGCGTGACGGACACTGCTTCAGATTCATGTAGCTGTTGGGAAAGAAAAACATTTCTTCAAAGGATGGGAATTCATTTTTCAACAGAGTGTGAAAGTTTCACATTTCATGTTCATCTTTCATGTAAAAGTTTTGATAGCAAACACTGACTAGTCTAGTCACAAACTCCTGTGTTTGTTTGTTTTGTAACGAATTGTACTGTGCATGATTTATAGCCTTAAATTTGAGGTCACTTTTTCATTGTTCTATGGTTCATCAATTTGCAATATTTTAAAAATGTTGAAAATTGTAAGGATTTTTTTCCACACAACCTATTTATTGTCCTTGATCGCATGGGCCTAGTCAGAAAACAAAATAATTCCCTCAAAAATAGGACATTTCGTGCAATTTGTAGCTCCTATATGATGTACAAGTCATTATTTCAATTAAACCTCACTAGTTTTTGAGGTCAACTTGCATGCCCTATTTGTTCACACACTGATTAAATTAATTAATGCTTAGGCCAAAAAAAAGAAAAAAGTTCTGCTTCCGATTACATGGCATTCCAAAATAGGGCAGGTAGTAGGGAATTGTTTTTTTGCCATTTTTTTTGTGTACGATCATTTGGAGGCGTCTGCGTGTAGTCAAAGGTAAAAGGTAGAATTGAATTGTTTTGGGTGTTTTTTCCTCACTTTTCCCATTAAAAAATTAGGGTAGGGGCTGTCAGAATAGGATAGGTAGGGAAACCAGAAGCAGAACTTTTTTTGGGACTAAGCACATACAACACACAAAGACTGTAGCCTGTTTTGGTAGGAGATGCACTGAGCAATGATCTTGACAAAGAAACCTCATCACAACATCAAAGACAATTGTGTACAATGTACATACGTGTATATATATGTTTGGCATGATAGAAAGTTGTCATTCACTGGAAATTATATAAATGTCTGTGTTCGGCTCAAGTAGCGAGGCGCATCTAATGCTCTGTGTTTTAAGCAGATTGATGGCAGGTTGACTTTAAGCTGTCTGGTTTCATCTTAACAAAGTTGAAATGGAAAAGTAAAATCTTAAAGTAGTTTATGACCCATATAATTCCAATCCATTGTCTAGTACGCACATTTAGATTGAGCAGTTGCTGTACAGACCACATCACCTGTGACGTCATACCGACACATTGTCCACAATAAACAGTTTCTGTCAACACTTTTTTACCACTCAAATTTCAAGAGATAAATATGCAGTGCAGAAAAGGATAGTTTGCCAAAAGTAAACATTGCATGACCCCAATATCTTATATTGTAAACAAATGTACACAAATAGTACACTTTCTAGTAAAAGAGGTCCACTTCTACTGAGTTAAGATGTAAAGTCTGTCAGGGCCAACATGGCCCATTAGGCTGGCTTCTATCTTCGGTATCAGTGACATGAAACAACCAAGAATACGCCTACTCCCCTTGAATGGGATGCTTGGCCATCGCAGGTTACTCCCCAGCTAATGCCAGTACCCACTTATACTCCTGGGTGGAGAGAGGCAAGTGGTGAAGTGGCTTGCCCAAGGACACAACATATGGCAGGTAGCTGGAGGTGAACCCCTGACCCTCTGATCATGAGTCACAAACCCCAAGTGCTAGGCCAAACTTCGGAGTGAACTGGGGGATCCCCCAGCTCAGTTTTACTAAAGAGGGCTCCCTTACTTGTAAAAAAAAAGACCCATCCTTCAGACTAGGCCAGTTTCGAGCCTGTCTGAGTACACCCAGTAAAGACTACACTGCACTGTACTGTGGCCCTCTCCTATTGACTAAGAGGGCGTTTCTACAGTGGGTTTGTTACCTGAGGTCCAATTCTTGTGGCTTATCATCAAGAGCGCCCTCAACGATTCCCAGTGCGGCTGAGCCTCCTGTCCCATGCGCTGTGCACACCGAGGCCTTGTTGGCCCGGCAGCATTCTCCACAACGAGAGTATCTGAAACAAAGGCAGAAAGATGTGGATCACAAGTGTCCATCGATCATTGCTGGACTCAACTTTTAACAATTAGCCCCTGAACTACATGTACATGTATCACAATGTATTTATTCTATGATGAATCCATACAAGCATACAGTGTTCATGGTGTTGGAGCGGTAAGGTGCGGTACAGGGAGTAACAGGCAGGGCGGTTTTGGGCGGTACAGGGAGTAACAGGCAGGGCTGTTTGGGGCGGTACAGGGAGTAACAGGCAGGGCGGTTTTGGGCGGTACAGGGAGTAACAGGCAGGGCTGTTTGGGGCGGTACAGGGAGTAACAGGCAGGGTTCTTTTGGGTGGTACAGGGAGTAATAGGCAGGGCGGTTTAGGGCGGTACAGGGAGTAACAGGCAAGGCAGTTTGGGGCTGTACAGGGAGTAACACGCAGGGCTGTTTGGGGTGGTATAGGGAGTAACAGGCACGGCTGTTTGGGGAGGTACAGGGAGTAACAGGCACGGCTGTTTGGGGCGGTACAGGGAGTAACAGGCAGGGCGGTTTTGGGCGGTACAGGGAGTAGCAGGCAGGGCTGTTTGGGGCGGTACAGGGAGTAACAGGCAGGGCGGTTTTTGGCGGTACAGGGAGTAACAGGCAGGGCGATTTGGGGTGGTACAGGGAGTAATTAACAGTCAGGGTGGTTTGGGGTGGTACAGGGAGTAACAGGCAGGGTGGTTTTGGGTGGTACAGGGAGTAACAGGCAGGGCGGTTTGGGGCTGTACAGGAAATAACAGGCGGGGTGGTCTGGGATGGTACAGGGTGTAACAGGTAGGGCGGTTTGGGGCGGTACTGGGAGAAACAGGCAGGGCGGTTTAGGGCAGTACAGGGACTTCTGATTAATTAGTCCACGAGTGATTCTTGCAAATGTCCGCCTTAAGCCCGGTTCATACTCGGTGCGAAAGCGAAAGTGAACGAGAAATTTGTGAAGTCGTGGCAAGTATTCGTGATGGGAATTCTTAAAAGTTGAACATACATGTATTTCAACTCGGTCGAATTTCACAGCTAATGGTTCATGACGTCAAATTCCCTTTGCATTCGCATTCGCATTCACATGAAGTATGAACCGGGCTTTAGTGTGAACAAGGAATAACCACAAGCAACAGTTTGGAAGCAAGCAACAACACTCTGGGAATAATACTGATGTGATCATATAGACCAAAATCAGCCTGACTGCTAAGTATTGGGAATAATCCATAACTTTATGCAACAAGCTACATCCAAATCTTGGATACTTCAGGGTTCGACCCTTACTTTTTTTTCACTAGCCAGGGGGCTACTGAATCAGACTCTTAACTAGTCCGGGGGCATTTTCACTACTAGTGTAGTCCACCCATCCCGTGTTCAAGTGAAGTTAGTCAAGTTATGATTAACCCTATATCCGCGCTCAAACTTGCTCATACCTGCAAGCTTTCTTGGACGGTACCCTGCCACAGCTCACACATAGGATACTCAGCTGGTATCGGGGCACCTCTCGACATGTTACAGTCACTTGTTGGCTGGATGGGTGACTCTCACTGTATGGCTTTCTGTGAACCTTTAGATCAAACGAAACCCATTCTTAAATTACAAAAATGCCTATAAAGATGTACATTCTAACTGCGTATACAGAGGAATCCCATTATGTTTGTTGACACCCAAACTGTCAGAGGTGCTCTATCTGGAATTATTACACCTCACCCACAGATTCTGTGTCTTGATTGGCCAAGAGCGAGTCACATGATACTTTCTATTTTTGCTATCTTTCTGTGCACGGCCAAAAGTACTATACCCGTAGCAACCAAAGTACTATACCATTAGCAACCAAAGTACTATTTCCACGGCGCGGCATTTGTGTGCAAACATGGCAAATGCATGCTGGTGTGCGCGTTGCACGCAGTGCGTTTTGTTCCAAAGAGAGCGCGCCACAGAGTTGGGTTCAAACACTTCGCGAAGGGGTAGTTTGTTAGAGAGAAATACATTTTCCACCAATTTTGTATTGAAGTTGAAGTTTATTTCAACTGTGTTCAGATTTAAATAATTAAAAATATTATAACCAAGCAGAATCTGTGGGTGAAGTGTTATAAAACAAATATTGAATGCTTTATCTCGTGGTGAAGTAAAACTAGCCTCCCTCGGTGATCCATGGAGCATTCTATTTTCCCTCGGGAAAATAGAATGTCCATGGATCACCTCGGAGGCTAGTTTTACTACACCACTCGAAGCATTCAATATTTGTATATTGAGGGACGTAACAATTTTGTTGTTGTTAGTACAGGGTGAGTCAAAAAAATGAAAACCCAAATGTCAGGACCAATTTTTGAATGAAGTTTTGCCTGTAGCACTTTCGAAATCTAGAATATGAAAGCCCAGTCATTAAGCTTTCTTTTCATTCAAATCACTGATGTACTTTTCAACTTACGGAATTTGAACACAAAAACCGTGTTAGGGTTCTGTCCATGGATCACCAAGAAAGTGAGTGTTCTTTCAACAAAACGAAAACAATTCTTAAACATGTAGGGATACATGTGAAATGTTTTCGTTTTGCTGACCTTTTTTGTAGTTGGGCACTCGTTTTCTGGATTCCATATTTTCATTGCAACCTCAACTGCTTTGCATGGTTACTTTGATAGGAAGACAGCAACAGAGGCAATTTTTGAGATTCAGTAAAATTTTGAGGGATCATTCTAAAGTCAATCCCCTTGGACACAATGTGAGGAAATGTATGTGTTTCCCATCTCCCAGTTCTAGGATTTGTGTCCCTAGTTATTAAAAAAAAAGCTTTGTTGTTCACCCTGTTTCTCATGTGTTGGGTCGTGGAGACCGTGGAGACATGGTTCACATAGGAGCCCAGGGATCGTCTTCGCTTTTTCTTGATTTGTGACGGCGGTTTGTGGAACACACTCCGCAGGTTAAACAGCAGACAACAGACCGTGACACCCACCAATCCTACAAATCAAACAAGAGGATAGGAATATACAAAAACAAACAAAAACAAGGTGAGGTGAATTGGTGCAAAAAATCACTGGTTCAAAGGTATTAGCTGATCTGACAACTTCTAGGGCCCAATTTCATAGTGCTACTTAACAGCTGATTTTGTGCTAACAGAGCCTCCGTCCATTTCATAGAGACTGTAAGCAGTAAGTGCAGCAAAAGCACGCTTAACCCCGGGTGAAACAGTTGCTTAAAGGGAAGATACAACATTTGCAAATATCAAAAAACAAAATGATCAAATTATCATGAAATACCTTACTGGATTGTAAGGGAATGACAGTCTAAAGCAAACTGTAAAATCGTGTCTCCTGGTGTGCTGACATTTTCGGGAAAATTTATATTTTTCCAACGTAGGTCGGCCGACCAGCGTGGAGAAAACTGGCTTTTTTCCAAAAACCAGTGTTCCCCAACATGTAGAACAAACCTGGCGCCCCGCCATGCTTTCTGCGGTGCCCGCCATGTTTAAGAAGTCCCCGCCAAGCTTTAAAATCCTGCCGCCAGGTTTAATTTTTTTGACTCTACAGTGTACATTTACAACTAAAATAATTGATTATTATCTATGATAACGAATTTGGCGGGAAACAGAGCTTTCACACAGTGGCTTTACTGGTTTATTTAACTTTGTGGGGATTCCTCCAACGTCAGGCATTTCCTTGGTTTCAACACCGGTGTCGGAGTCTCACAACACTAACTGGGGGAACCAAGTAAGCCAAAGATTCTAGCTGAACCGAGTGGGCACGGTACGAGCTTTCGCAGAGACGGCCGGACTCAAGCGGGAGCGGACCGCTACAGTGACGGGGAAGCAACAGCTGGACGGGGCCAGCGAGTGTACCGGATCACACTATAGTTCGAGCCATGGTGTGCATGGTCAACCGGGGCCAGTGGCGTAGCCAGGAATTTTTCAGTGGGGGGGGGGGGGGGGGGGGGGGGGGCGCTGGGGGGGGCTGGAACATATCATGGGGGGGCGTCATGTAGATCAATGATAATTTTTTTAGAAACTCAAAATCTCAGTGGGGGGGCGACTGGGGGGGGGGGGCGACAAGGTTTCATGGGGGGCTGTCCCCCACGCCCCCCCGTGGCTACGCCACTGTGTACTGTACATGTACGTCATGTAGGCCTACGTGTATCCAATCGCTATAAAAACTGGACTATTCAACCACTGGACTCCAAGACTACGAGGACCGCAGCCTGTGATGTGATGTCTGCCCAAACCTGATGTTTTCTTTCGCTCGTACCCCCGCCCTGCAAACAGGGCGGGGGGGGGGGGGGGGGGGGGGGGGGGGGGGGTACGAGCAAATGTTTTTCTCAGCTACCTCACGTGACAGGCACAACCTCGTATGTCACATGTCATCCACCTCATCCAGAAAACGACAAAACCACGGTCATCTTTGTGGCTTCCAAAACTGTAACCTGTCATTCCCAACAGCATATCAGCTGGCAAAAACACAAGAAAACTGAAGGTCACCAGTGCAAAAGAGGAAGACCGACAACTTCACGCCGTCACTGAACTAGACACAGATGTACATGGTGTTCAAGTACATGTACATGCAAGTGCATGTACATGTACATGTACATGTTCAGTTTTTATTAATCAAAATTAGGGGTGGGTGGGTGGGTCAAAATAATTGGAAAAAAAAGTCGAAATTTTAAAACATTGAAAATTCTGAATGGCCCCTAAAGTGTAAAAACCTGACCTTAAATTATGTTTTGTTTAAACCAAGATGTTTGGAGGATAAACTTGAAATGTTCAATGTAAAGAACTACATGTATGGAATTTGGCCCGTATTCAGATTTTGAAGCATTCTAGTCCTAGAATTCAGTGCATGTGAGGTGCATGTATTCTCAGAATTTCACAGGTCTGATCAATGTGCCAAAATTCAAGACCAGCTCTATCTGGGGAACATAATTTTATCAAGTCTTGGGCCAAGACTATGCCAAGGTGTCCTGCATCCTACAGATATTTACCCAGTATAAAAATGGCTATGCTCGAAGTCTGGACATCACCAGGTTTGGCAAACAGTTCCATTAAGTATTTGCCGACCGCTGATCCCATATTGACTCCCTCTACATGTAGCTATGGCTGGTCACACCTGTGCAGCATCATTAAGTAGTAGGCAAAAGGTTGTCATCTGGAAAAAAATAAATAAACTGAGCATGGAGTTACACAGACAAAGATGAGAGTTATGTATCGATAGCCATTCACATCTGCGATAGTTGTACATGTAGATGCAAGGTGTGGCTCTGTGCTGTACCTACTGCCACACAGCCAGCATTCTCACGGTTAGAGAAAGTGGTCAACCTTTTTCCGCGAAAACATTTTACATACGGTTGTATTATGTCTCAGCTTTTGCTCTCAGGGTTGATATAGTAATCTTACTTCAATTTTTTCGAGAAATTTAGGAATTTTTCTGGAATCTAGGGGCCTATGCACATGTACGAATGTATGAAGCAATGACTCCAAAGCTGTGACGTCGTGTTTATGCAAATCGATCTTGTCGCTCCGGCCACACAGGCTGCGCGAGTTATGATGAGACGGTTGTTTCTTGTAGGTAGTGGATATTTTGCCGGAGGTAACGCCGGCAAACTAACGTTTACTAAAGGTTTGCCGGCGGCAATCCATATCAACAGAGGGCGCTGTACTCTTTAAGATAGGGCTGAATTATGTATTAAATTCCCACCAAAGTTGTGTAGCACAGTCGGTGCAGTGGTTAAGCAATGGCTCTGGTGAATGGGATGTGAATGGGATTATAAAATGGTCTTATTCCCATCTTGTAAATACAAAAAATACAACGATAATATTGGCATGGAGCCAGACTAAAATTTGTCACCGGAAAATGTTTTGAGTACAAAAAAACAGTAACTGCGCATGTTCAGTGCATATCCGGCAAACTAACGTTTACTGAAGGTTTGCCGTCTCCGGCAAAATATCCACTGCCTTTCTTGTACAACTTGTCAATCGATTGTACAATGTAGCGCATAACCGGCCCATATACAGTCTGGGTGATTCCGCTGTACAAGAAACAGCTGTCGCATCGCAACATGCCCAGCTGTAGCAACAAGTTAAAATAATAACAGAACAATCATGACAATAGTCTCAGTCATTTCTTGTTGCCCAAAAAACACAGAAAAACAGAAAAATAGTGTAAGGTGATTTTTGAGCAAATAATTTTTTTTTTGACTCTAATTTGATCAAAACAAAACAGGGGCCCTACACTACTAGTAAACGATCGCCATGAAGTCTACCTCCAATGCCCATGACCTCATTCAGTCATTGTGTTGTGCCCATTCTTGAAAATCACGCATTCTCGAAAATGGGCATGCACATTCTCGAGAATGGGCGCGCATTCTAAGAATGAGCGCCCATTCTTAAGAACGAGCACGCGTTCTTAAGAATGAGCGCTCATTCTTAAGATTGGTTGGGAATATCACGTGCACAATTTATGAATTTTGCCCAATCTTAACAAACATTGCACGACATAATTATGTTAAATGAATTGTATAGCGGTTAAAAGGGAAACAATTCATATAAAGAGGAAAGAAAATGTGCTATGCTTCTGTACTCGTATAATTACGATAATTTGAATCAAATTAAACCTGTTATTATTGCTTTTTTCTGCCCACTATGGGAAGTTTTGTAATAACGGAGGACTGGGAACTAGTCTGGGAAGTGCTTTGTTTAGGCTAGACAAGTTACAAGTCCCTGCATGTATCATATGCGTGCCACAAAAAAAAAAACGATGTCCAGAAGCTGCCAAAATTGCTCTTTTGACTAGATAGAATTCAGCTCTGCGACGTTATGGTGGGATGTGAACAATAAATTGGTGGCAATTTAAATGGGAAATAGCATTAGCACTATGGGATGTCGCAGTATTCATTCTCATTCTTCACATTCTTCATTCTTACGTCCCCCCCCCCCCCCCGCTTTTATTATCCCAAACATAGGAATTCTTTGCACTAGTATTATTATGTCTCTTATATTTTCCCGGTCCCCCCCCCCCCATATTAATACGCCTTTACTTATCATATCCACTCTACTTTTCAGAGCCTTGCGTTGCAACAGTATAATTATTGAGAATCAGTGAACGAGGATTCAGCTAGACTTGCCAAGCGCAGCCGGTGCTCGGCATCGACAAGACCGTTATCTTGTCGCGCATTCTCGAGAATGTGCGCTCAATCTGGAAGAGTTATTTTTTGCCAAGATTGAGCAAGGATCCAGTTGCACATTCTCAAGAATGTGCATGCCCATTCTCGAGAATGCGTGATTTTCAAGAATGGGCACAACAATTGCATTGATTTATCAGTATGGCTTACCTGGATGAAACACTTGTCAGTTTCGACCGCTCCCGCGCTAGAATCTGTAGGACCATATAGCAAGGTACATTCCGAGTACCCAGTCAATAAATCCGAGTAAGCCTAACTGTTACTTGTTAGGTCTAAGTTCTCTAGTCTTAGACGTAAAAATATTGCAATGCAGTTTGTCATCGAGCTCAAAGAATGACATTGACATTCATGAATCTCCCGTCCGTACTATACGCGTAATATAGGCGCAGCGCCGCCAAGTGACATTTTTTTGGGGCCCAATCACCCTTTCATTCAGTTGCAACAAAGATAAATCGGACACTCCACTGAAAAATAGTGAAACAGGAAGTAAGTTGCTAGCTGGGCATGGAGAAGGGCGCCACCACGTTCCTGGTAGGTAAAAAGCAGCTTAATTGCTCCAGTTACTCAACGTGATAACCTCAGGTACCCAGAAATGTCTTTTGTAAATAAAATCATGCAGATTTGTAACATTTTAAAGCAATTTATTCTGTAATTAATAGCACCACTCAGGTGCTTCAGAGGCAAATTCCTAAATGTCTCTTTTCAAAATGGACAGTGGGCCTACATTTACAGTATCATGCTGTCAATTTCAGAAATTGCTGTCAATTTCAGAAATTGACAGCATCAAATTCAGAAATGGGGAGCCCCCCCCAAATCTTTTCATCATGTAGACATTGCTAGCTTATGGCTTATTCACTTCATACAGGGGGTATTTTTAAGGGGGTATTTATTTTTGTAATAGTGACTTTCATTTTTCTTTCTGAAGAGGTTGTGTATTTGCATTGTACAGCGCTTTGTGATATTCTTGTGACATGGATGGAAAACGTTTTCAAATAATTTATTAAATATCCTTTTTATTATACCTAAAAAAAAGTTAGGGGATCGTACATTCTATTTATTATTGGCAATGGGTTGTACTTGAACAGTGATTGTATTCATTATGATATAACTCATTTTGTGGGTTTTTAAATCGAATTTTCTTCGTATGTCTTATTTTGTTATTGACTGTCCGAAGTAGGAGATTAAAATCCCGCTCACATTTTTTTTGCACGATGCTATTTTCTCGGGTTGATTACGCCCATTTACCTACCAACAATAGGGGCGCACTTCTACGTTAAAGACGTCAAACCGTTTCATCGGTCCCGGCCCTGTACAAAAGGTACCTTGTGGCTTAATATCATCTTATGCGAATAGGAAGATCGTGTCCAGCCCCAGCCCCTACTCTTGTTTTATTTTACGTTGGCAAGCTGACCGGTGAAAAAAACTATGTCTAACCTTTCAGCACGGATGGGGGAGTGCCTTTTTGTGTTCACGTCTACCCGGTATCCCCCCCCATTAAAAATTACCTTGCTACGTGCTCTGTTTTCAACTGAAACGTTAAGAATCGATGATTTTACACGCGTCGGGTTCACCCATCTTTTGTCCGCCACACGGTTCACATTATTGTTGAAACGTCGTGGCGCAATAATTTATGTCCGTCGCAGCTCACTTTTTCAACGTCGCAGTTTACATTACGACGTAAGTATAATAATCCGGTCGGAAACCCTTCCGTTTTTTCAACATCGTTAGACATTTCTTTCGTTTTTAAAGTTACATTCTGCATCATCTGCTAGCTTATCGAGCTTGTTATGCCGGGGGAGGGGAATGAAGACTATATCGACGTCCGTCCGTCGTTCGAACCGTCTTAAAACCGTCTTGAAAAACAACCAAAATAATGTGGGCAAAAAAAGCACGGAAAAGATGCTTAAATGTTGCCCGTCGGTTGGCCTTGGTATGAAGTCACAGGACACATGGTACATCATATATAAGACACACCAATGCGAGTTTGAAACGGTTGACGGTCCTGGTGTATAGCCATTACTGGGACTTGTTTTGTAAGCCCTATAGCTCCAGAATACGTCACTATAGAGGAGCATGTTGTACAGTGCAGGGGGGGGGGCAGAACCGGGAGGAGGGGGGCCAGGGGGCGGCACTAATTGCCCCCCGTGACATTTAGCAAGTGCCCCTGTTGCGGACAGAAACTTGCCCCCTGGAGCATACAGGTGCCCCCTCGATCGCGAGATGAAAACAAAACTGGCCCAAAATTTCAGATAAGTTATTTTCAGTAAACCATTCCCAAAATGGTATAGAGAGTTCTGATATGAACGAGTTCTCCATAATAATAAAACCAAGCCACAAAACCCATACAATGCGCGCCCTAAAAATGGGCACATAATGCGTAGTTTGCATAATGGCCGGTTGTGAAGATGGTACCAGTCCCCCCTCCCCCGCCCCCCCCCCCCCCCCCCCCCCCGCCACTATTTGATTTTACGGAGGCCAAGTGTCCGGTGACAAAAAACGTGTCGACATTTCAGCACGGATGCGCTCCCCCTCCCCCCCCCCCCCCCCAAAAAAAAAAGACGAAATGCTGGATACGCTGTGTCATGGTCTATTTCAAAATAAAGGCTACCGGTTACTCTTGCTCAGTCGCTAGTGAACGGCAAATTACCATATATACGTGCACGATTCGCGGCACGTGATCAATGTACACGCACGAGGTTACCGGTCAATGACGAAAGCAGTAGGCATGGGTATTTTAATACGAAAGCATATTATTTACGACGGGTCTAAGGCCAAAACTAGAGTTTCTATGTATGTTGGCAAAAGAACATAGGGCTTTTTTCGCATTATGCTTCTTTATAAATAATATTTTTTTCATGGTACCAAGTTTGAAATCAATCCGATGAAAGGAAGTGTACAATTTTGGAAGCAGAATAAAATTGTAAATATTAAAAAAATCGTAAAAATCAACCGATGACGTCATCGTGACGTCATTTCGACGCCATGAAGTGTTGGAACGCCCTCTACCGACAGGTTAAAAAACGTCAAAAATGCATTTTCATTGGATGTCTGTGGCGAAGTTTGCGGTAATCGCTTCAAAATTAATGTACATGATGACCATAATGCAGACAACACATGTGCGTGAAAAAATTGATTACGTCATCAGACCGGAAGTTACAATAAAAAGACCAAACTTACAAACTGTACAAACATATTACAGGTGACGTCATCAAATGTCAGAGCGCCCTCCAGCGGCAGTTTAAAAAACGTCGAAAACGCATTATCACTTGATGTTAGTGGCGAAATATGCGGTAATAGCTTCAAACCTAACATACATGATGAACTTAATGCAGAAAAGACCTGTGCACGAAAACAAATGAATGATATCATCAGAACGGAAGTTATAAAGAAAAGATCTTTAAACCTTAAACAATTGCTAAAAAATCAACCGTGAGAGATATAATCAAGGTGTGGCTATATATAGCAGAGTAAATATAGCTCTGGAGGTTTCTGGCGATGACGTCACAATGACGTTATCAAGTTTCATATTACAAGCAAATAAATATTTCCATATTTAATCTTTGAAAATCAATATAAAATCAACTGCTACAGATTTGATTTTGTTTTTTATGGCAATCGATAAAATATTGCAGGGTCTTCAGTTTTGGTTTTAAGTGCACAATTACGTGACCCTTCCTTCCGGTCAAAACCGGAAGTGCCTTATTAATTGAAATTGGCAGAAGATGCGAACTTGCTTTTAACGATTCGCCGAGTGTCTGCCTAGGCAGTACTGTACACACATTTTACAGGTGACGTCATCAAATTTTAGAGCCCCCTCTGGCGGCATGTTGAAAAGTCAAACATGGATTTAAACATGCATATTTTGAGTTGATGTGTGTGGCAAAGTTTGCGGTAAATCCATGGCCCAACACCGTGTGGTTGTTCCTTCAACCTCTGGTTATTTCTGTATTTGATATTTCATCGTATGTTTTGCAATATGCATTTGATGTTTCACTTTACATTCGATGTTTCGTTAAGAGTCGCAGTCTGGTTACTAGACCGCGAAAGTCTGACTATTTTGTCTAAAGTCAGTATATGAGACGTCAGGGGGATCGCGTAAGTGATTAGAGCCAGACCTAAACGGTAAAAACCGGAATAGTGGGTAATCTCAATGCATGCGCAAAGCAGTCGTCATTGTATGGGCATACCGCCAGCTGCATGTGTTTGTACTTTGTACATGGTATGTACATGTACATGTACATGTATGTGGCAGGGCCAAATTTATCTTGTATATTTTTCATGTATGTAATGTATAGTGTATTGAATAGGAGTAGTTCCCCTTAGAAAAGAAGACCATTTCAGTTTCACTTAAGATTCCCCCCCTTTCTTGGTAGTGTGTCCCCCTGGTTGTTTACTTTAGCCCACATGTTCCCCCTATAAAAGCTGCCACATGGTCAAGCCACGGATCAACCAGCAGACCAACAGAGACAACTTCATAGTATGTATACCGGTATTTTATGTTCCTCCTAACTGGAGAGCCTGTCCTGTTTGAGCTCGGTCTGCTCGAGTCATTTGACTTTATTCCTGCTTGAGTGTTCTTTGCAAGGTCCACTATTCACACTGTGTTGGTTTTAGACTTTAGGGTTTAAGTCTTAATTTCTTGGGTTTTTTTTGGTTTTTAAGTTTTATTCTTTGCTTTTAGTTTCTGGTTTTTGGTTTAAGGTTCTTGTGAATAAATTCTTTTTGGTCCTTTTTTTGGTTGAAATCTAGAATTGTGTCCCTTGTCCCTATTAATTCAGTCTCCTCACGCCTTTTCTCTTAAAAGATCCTGAGTTTAGTTTAGTTTTGTTAGTTAATCCCCATAGAGTCTTAGTTTGTGCGAGTTCCCCAAGTGTGTCATTTTTCACGGTTACATGTACATCATTGATCATCCATAATAACCACATGCCATATGACATCCAAAGCCAACCTTTATTTACACATAAGTGCTAGCGTGGCGCTCTAAAATCCAATCGGCTCAGTACCGGTGTCACGGTCTCACTTCTCCGGCGTGCTAGCTTCTCCGGATGGATTCGGCGAACAGTTGAGCACGTTACAGTGCACGTTACATGAGCACGATACATACTGATGTGTCCGCTGTGCTTACTTTTCCTCGGGCTGTATTACCATGGAGCTATCAAGCCTATTAATAACACAGTAAGGGACATCCAAGAATGTGTTATGTAACACTTCCCCCATGGTCTTGCAAGCATTCTGATTTGTGTTCCCAGCGTCATGCATGTGTGTGTGTTTATGGAGGAATAATTAAGAACGAACTCCTTGGTCCGTGTTCCTTGCTCTTTCATGTTCAATTTTGTCTTTATTTTTGCAACCATGCGGCTTAAAATAAATGTGCATTTCAAGTCTTTTTTGGTTATGGTTATTGGGAGTTGTGCGCGCCAC